AAAAACAATTAAGATATATATTAGACTATTTAAATTACATAAATATATATGTATTAATCTTACTTGCCAGATAATTTTGAACCAAGTCTAAGGATTGGTTTTTTAATGGCGCTCTTGACACGCTCCATGATACTTGTTCTCGTTTTTTTATTGATCACTCACTCACATTCACACACACTCACTCACTCTCTCTCATTCATCGATAGCGCGGCATATGTTTGGTTCGAAGAGGGTAGCCAACAGAGAGTCACAAGCATAAACGCGTGCCCCACAACTACCAGGGGTACAGTTGGCAACGAGAGAAAGACGAAAGAACGATCGCGAAAAGAAAAAGAAAAAGAGAAAACAAAAAATGAGGGCGCAAAAAAAAAAGGAAGGCAATTCTCTTTCTTTTCTTTTTTCTTCTTTTCTTCCTTCCTTCCTTTTTCTATCGATTCAACATATTCTAACTACTTACAATTCAGATCCGATGGACGGATTGCGCGAAATACATTTTGGTGAAAGATCATTGTCACTATCATATTTATACAAAAATGATTCACGTCGATGCATTCCACCACTACTAGTTGTTGTTTTATTAGTTGTATTTGTTGAACCATGTGGTTGTTGATTATGTGATGATATTGATGATGTAGTATGATGAGAATTAATACCACCACGTGGTGATGATGAACCATCCACATCAAAACTAAAATAGATAAGAAAATTTAAAAGAAAAAGGTTTATTAGTATGCATAAAAATCATTTTACGAATAAATGATTTATTAATGTCTCATACATACTACTCAACTGCTTTTTTAATTTCTTTTTCCAATATTTATAAGATAGTTGACGTTCTTCTTCATGGAGATGCGTATACATGGTTGTATCCTTATGTTTATATATATGTTTGTCACTACAACTTGCTCAGTATAAATGAATCAATCAAAAGAAAAGAAAATATTCAAATCGACAATGAAGAAGCAATGATAGAAAAAAAAAAGAGAACGAAAGAAAAAAATAAAGAAATATATATATTAAGTCACGGTTCATTTGTCTCTTTTTTTTCTTCACGAATATCAAGATAACGGAATAAATTTAGTTATTAATAATATAAATCTAATTTTCTTTTTTTGATTTAATTAAATTTATTATATTCATTATATGAATCTTAAAAAGATTTTCTAAATTGATTTTGTTTTTTTTTTTGACAGATCATATTGAATAGAGAATCGTTTAATAATTATTCTTAAGCTTAATTTCCGTTTTATTTTTTCTACTAACATAAACAATTCATCTCTTCAGCATATTTATTTTCATTCTCAAACTAAATCTTTGTTTTTTCTCAATGCAAATTCTCGATCATTAGATAGACATAGCTAGAATTTCTTTACATAGAGTTCTGAGGTTTCATCAATCTTTAATCTATTAGATAATAACAAAAAAAAATATTTTCTGTTTTCTTTTTTCTTCTCAGGAAAACAAACATAGATAGTTGAATATTTTCCTTATCATTCGAATTTTAAAAACAAGAAGAAATATCAAATATCTTTCAAAGATATTATTAAGTCATAGACGAATTGATCTTCTTAGTATAGAGAAATCTCTATAGGAAATGAACAAATATTCATACTAACGAAATTTCTTTCCTTCAGGGAAATTTCTTTTTTTTTTCCTATTTCTTATTACTCTATCTATTCATCTTGTTAGTAACAAACATCGTTGTTTTCCAATAATTGATCGAATCTTAATGATATACTCATGCATGAAAAAATCTTACAATGTACATTTTATTTTCTTACTTGTCATCAGTCTGATAGAATCGTAGACTTCGTTGTAAACGAGGTCTCAAATCGTACGAAAAACTTCTAATATTATTCTTCATTAATATTAATGATCTACGTGATGGAAAAATTCAACTAAATTAAAATGTATGTATTAAAAACTAAATTTGAACAGGTATAAAATCTGTTCTATGTCAGATTTACCTTTATTTATACATGGAATTTTTTTCCCTACTTCTTCTGTTTTTCTTTTGACACTTGTTACGATAGCTGACTTATTATATTAAGCAGAGATCAATAAAAAATCGACTCTTTATAGGTTCTATACATATGCATTAGGGGAACAATTCTGATAAGAGTGTTCTATAAAAGAAAAGATATTCGATTGGTCACATATGGAAATCAATGTTAATAAGATCCTTTCTGGATATGTACAAAAATACAGAGAAAGATCGACAGCTGGTTACTAATCATGCTGTGTTGTACGACAGGAAGTCATCGATCATTTTGATGGTGCGTAAAACACATATCGACATAGCGAAAAAAATTTTACACTAGGAAAAGAAAGAACCGACCTTATTCCATCATCAATATCTCCTCCTTTGTTATGAACTGAATGTCGAAGACTGCGACGAAATGTAAATCTACGACGTAAACGTGTTGGCGGATCTATTGAAGGGTTTGATGAATCAGTTGATTGTTGTTGTTGTTGATGATGATGACTTGGTGGAGATTGTGGATTTGATAGAAGTGTTGATGGAGATGTTTGATTAAATCTTTCGAAGAATGTTTTAGTACGTCTTGATGATACTCGACTTGATAGTGGTGTTCGTGTTGGTAATGTTGAAGCTTGTAAAGTAATACTTGGTGTTATGTGTGATGGTATTGCTTTTGTTATATTTTGAATTGTTCGAATCGTTGGAATGCCTGAAATAGTAGTAGTAGCAGTACTAGTAGTTGTTGTTGTTGTTGATGATGACGAAAGGGATGTTGGTGATGAAGCAAAATATACAGTTAGCGTCGTCATCAGACAAGAATAATGATGACAATGATGATAATGATAATGATAATATTGAAATGAAAATAGAGTGAAGAAAATAGGTCCGGATATCAAAGTCGACCGCTAATAACGAGCGAACAACAATAACAATAAATCGAGACTTTCTACTTTCTCCTTTCCTCAGTCACCAGAACTAACGACAAGGAGTGTGAAAAAAAAAGAAGAAGAAACAGAAGCAGACGAAGACGAAGACGAAGACGAAGACAGCTAGAATGATGAAGGAGAGAGAGAGAGAGAGAGAAACAGGGAGACAGATGCATAACAGATACAACGGTACTGGTATGCTGGTGTTGGATGGAGGCAGTTTAACAGTCTTTCCGTTCGGTTTGGTAACACGCAAACAACTAGAAAACTCTAACTACTGGTAACTATAACTATGTCGTAAGAAGGAGAAGACGATGAAGAAGAGAGACAGAGACAAGACTTCAGATTGGTAAAAGCAATCATCCAAATGGATTTTCTCGCTTCATCTCACCATGGCCATTTAACAACATTCGAATATATACACATATACACATAGCTTCAAGTTAACGAGTCTATTCATCGATCGAGCGAAAGACAACTACCCGAATTAGAACGGCAGTTATGTGAACGACAAGGTTTATTCATTCATTGATTGTTATGTTTTGGTAAAATACAAAAGAATACTCTTATCTTCTTTTGTTCTTCTTATGTCTCTTATTATCAATCTTATCTTTAAATATTTTTAACTGACGATTATCTATGTAGTCTTGACGTCTCTTGAGATATATATTTATACAAATGTATCTCTCTGCTCAGGAAATCTGAACAGTTGAAAAACATTAATGGCAAGATTTCTTTTATTTTCTTTTATGATTTTATAAAAAAGCAAACTTCCTCACCATCCTTAAGTTACTTCCGGTCGATGCATATGCATACTTCAATGGTAACATAAGGTGACAGCCGTCTTTATCTTTATTACAAAAGAAAACAAATAATTACCTAAAGCTATGATACGATTAAGCAAATCTTATCTTTTTTTTTATCTAATGAATACAATATTCTTTGTAGAAACAACTGAAATAAGATCATTTTCAAAAATATTATAGATAAATTAGATGTTTATTCATACGAAAAAAAAAAGAAAAAAAAAAAGATAATATTTATAAGCTTAGAAAAAAAAAATTATCTTTTCTTTTCTGTCGGCTATAATCATATTTCTAAACAGTCGTCGAGCCATGTGCCACTGTATGTCGACAAGAATAGAGAAAAATCGTTTCCGAAAGCTCTTTACATGATTTGTTTTAAAGATAAATACTTGTATACAAAAAAAAAAACATGTATATATAGATAAAGTCTTTGTGAATTTTTTCAACTATTAACATTGACAAAATATCTATTTATTTTTCTTTTTCAATTCTAGAATCTCAATCTACACTCAACGCTAGAAAAAAAACAATAGTATAAAACGTGTAAAACATATACACACAAAAAAGCTATTAGCACCAGTAAATGTGTTCGTGTGTATGTGTATGTTACGTGAACTTTTTTCGATTGTTTCTTCTCTAGAGAGTTATTATTATTGTTATTATCGGTGTTATGTATAATATTTTCTTGCTTTTGATTTTTAATAGTGAATATCTTAATTTTATTTCTTTTTTTTTTTTTTTGTTTTTTTTAATAAATAAATACACATATACGCAGTGATTGACATGAATGTGCATGTTGATATCTAGCTATTGTCTTATTTTGCACGGTTGAACTTTTCTTGAGTGCAAATAGCAGACAGAAAAAGAAGGATAAAAGAGCGTTCTTTTTCGTCATTTCTTATTTTTCGTTGGTAAAAAGGTATACTTTACATATACAATAAGTGTCTTTGTTTGTTAAGTTTTTTATTTCTTCAAGCGCAATAAACGATTTCGGTAAAGCGCACACGAGAGCTGTCAATTTTTTTTTGGTATGTGTGTGTTATTGTTACTGATGAAATAAGTCGATAGATGAGAAGAATAAAAGAATTGCTGTGTGTTTTATTAAAAAAAAAAAGAAAATGAAGAAATGCTTTTGCCTTAGATTTCTTTCGACTGTCAATGGAAATATTGAATGCATTAGCAGTCAGGGATAGAAATCATCAATGCGCATAATATAGCTTATCAAGAATTTGCATAAAAAAGAGGCCATAATGATTCTTTTAATCAGTAACTACGTTTTTGTTAGATTTACCTGGCTTTGTTATTGGCTGTAGCATGTTTACTATGATTAACATTGATGGGTGTCCGTCGTCTTAATATAATTCGTCCAAGACGAACAAGTAAAGGTGGAGTTCGAGATGAAGGATCTGGGGAAGAATGGATAGGGACGGTTGTAACATCGTCTGTAACTGAACTTTGTCGTCGACTATTATTCGATGAAACGCACGACGTACAAGTCGATGCCATTCCACCACGTCGGCAACGTTTTTTCGTTGGTTTTGTTGATATTGTTATTGCCGTTGTTGATGTTGTTGCCGTCTTTGTATATGTATTTTGATGATTTTGAATCAATGAAGTTGAAAGTGGACGTGATGAAATACTTGGTGTCGAGCTTTTTCGACGTGTATAAACAGTCGTAGAAGTTTGTTCGACCGATGGTATTTGACTTGAACGTTTTCTCGCGCCGCAACATCGAAATGGAAAGGAGCGGATCGTTGTTGAGGAAAAGGAGGTAGGGGATTGCGAGAATGGTGATGACAAGACTTTCTTTTTGCGTTTAGCAAGAAATGGTCGAATAGTGTGAGTTAATACGTCTGACGATGATGACGATCGTGTGATCGAAATGACCGGCGGTGGGGGACTGTTGGTGACACTCGTGATTGACTTCTATGTGAATGACGACGACAACAACGATAAAGAACCGAGAATCGGCACACACGCGAGAAACGACAAGAGCAACGTTGCTTGTTGTCGACGAGCCACACACACGCGGGCGGGCGCGTTTCTCTTGCTCTCTCTCTCCCTCTCTCTTTCTCACTCTCAGTCGCTATTGCTGCTACAACCTCCTGATGATGATGCAAGAGAAAGAGAAAGAGAGAGAGAGAGAGAGAGAGAGAGAGAGAAAGCAATGACGATGCTTCTGGTGGCCGTGGCATCCAACGCAACGCCGGAGTAAAACATAGGATAAGGAACAGAACGGGCGAACACAACAAAGCAAACGAAAGAACGATCGCTCTCTTCTATATTCTTTTCTCTATTTCTTTTCTTTCTTTTTTTCATTCTTTTTTCTTCTTTCTCTATAACATATGAATGAAGTGGCACTGTTAGTAGCAAAAGAAGAGGTATACGTGCATGTGTGTATAGCGGTGAAGACAACCGAACGAACATTGATGACATTTTTTTGCGTTCTCGCTTGCATCTAACTGTTACAACAGTTTCCATCAATGCTGTTATAACAGCAACAACTATAGAATCGACAACGACAAGGCAAATACAGAAACATATCAATAACGTCGTCATCATTTTGGCCATAGCAAGTTAGAGTACCATACTAGCGAGCACACAAGACAGGAAAAATCTTCTTGCTTTGCTTTCCTCAAGGCCGTTGTTCTCTTCAACATGACACATAGACATACGCACATACAAACACACAAACGAGAGTGTCAATCAGTGTTGTATATGTGTGTGCGTGTGACGAAAACAAGCCGTGCTCTTCTGCTCTCCATCCATCAACACCAAGAGCAAAAAGAGACGATGAAACGGAATAGAATTGAAGGGATAAAAGACGGAATAAAAGATGGCGCCGTCACCTGGTATTCCAGGACAAGATCGCTTCTTCTTCTTTTTTTCTCTTTTCGTTAATACGATATGACAATCACTTGATTAACATGTCACGAACAATTAGTTGTTTCAAACAAACAATAATGTAGAATTGTGACTAATATATTTATTTATATTTATTTATATAAATAAAGATATAATATTTAGCTTAAGAAACAAATACTATTTTTGAGACAAATGTTTCTCGAAAAGATAAAGACGAATATGTGATATTTTTGACAAATTATACTTGAAGACATATGTTCTCTTGTAAACAAAATCTTGCTTGAAGTATTTTTGAGTAAAAAATAAAAACTAATGACATCATAGATAGAAAGAAAATAATATGTTGGCTTTCAACATCATTAAGTCAATAGTTGAAAAATAACATCATAGTTACAATTAGCTTTTTTCCGGTTTTACGTAAAATATGGATTCTAGCAAAAACAACTGGATGCGGTATTGGCCTAATCAAAATAATAAAAATATAATTGTTCTTAGATTTTTTTATTGAAAAGAAAGTTCAATATAGATATAAATATTATTAAATAGTCAAAGAGAATCATTGAACTTTTTAAACGAGAACTAATACTTATTTTTTTGTTATAAAAAAAATAGGTCAATCAAAATTGACTTACTCATGAATACATGGTGTGAACAAAAACTTCATTAGTTGAGAAATGATTTCCAATACAATCATACGAGCTTTTATTTTTTGACCTTTTTCGATATCATGATAAATAAAAAATAAATCTATTGTTATGATTGTTTTTTTTTTCAAGCGATTCTCATAAATGATAAGTCACGTACAGAAAGTCATAATCAAATTTTTATTTCTATATTCTTGATTGACGAGTGTTAAAAATTGTACTCAGTCGCTCTCATAAATCAGATTCAACTGCTTTACTTTTTACATTTTCTCATAAAATATGGCTAATCTGATTGTAAGAAACATAAATCTTTAATAACAAAATGTTCTTATAATAAAGTACTATGATGTATCTATTGTTCATTACCATAAGAGTTTTCTATTTTCAAGAAGTTATCAACAAAAGTCACGGTTTACGAAATACAGAATAGGAGTTTAAAAAAAACCTAAAACAAAAGACATTATAATTTATTTTTAAAAAGCAATAATTAAATGAACAAATAATATAGAATTTGAATGATATTGATAAATTTTTCTTTTTCATATTAATCTATATTTTATGATTTTTACTTAAACATTTATTCTAAGTATCAAAAAAAATGTTTAACTAAACGTTTTATCATCTTTTTCTTCTTCTTATACATGATAATAAATAATAAAGAAACATTAGATTATAGTTAAGAAATATAAAAATATAACATAAAAAATAAGTCTTATTCAAAAGAATATTTTATCACTTTAGAATTTAAGAGAAAAAAACTCTCACTGAAAAATATTTTTATACTATTGAATCTTGTTTTTGTATGTTTGGATTTAAGTATAAGAAAAATAATAAAAAAAAAAAAAAAAAAAAAGAAAACGAAAATGCTCACTTAACACGTTTGCCACTTAATGTTGGTCCGATTGAATGACGCCGTTCGATAAAAGGTAGTGTAAGAAAGCGTCGATAGAAATCCATTATCAATATATTAACATAGAAATTCATACAAGAAAAGAAAAGAATCTGAGTGTTTTTCTTTTTGTCTTCAATATCATCATAAATATAACTATATATACACGTATGTCGACAGTGAACAACGGAAGAAAAGTAGCTGTGAGACACAAATATGGCCACACATGCAAGATGTAGTCATAGTCTATTTTCTTTCAACTTTGGCATTTACTATCTTTCGTCATATTTTCTCTTTTTTTCTTTTTCCATTTTTCTCTTTTCTTTCTCTTTTCATTTCTTCTTAATAAACGTCAAGTGCATGGCGATACACCTGGCGTTATATGTCACGAATAAAAGCTCTCACCTTCCAATAGAGTCTGCATTGGCAGTAATAGTTATAGCTGATGTAGCAACATGGTTTCGATGTGAAGGACGTAATACAACATTTCCCCATGAATGTCGACGTTCAGGATTAAATGAAGGAACAATAAGAAAATGACGTCTAGATGGCGATGCCGATGAACACAATTCTTGATCGATATCAGCATCTAATGACATGATGATTAACTTTTTGGTTTCCTTTTTTCTTATATAGACGAATCGAGAAACGAAATATTTGGAAATAATGAAACACGTGCTGAGTCACACATATATATATACATATTAATGCTTTCACAAGACCAGTCGTTTTTTTTTCTTATATGTATCTTGTGAATACAAAATAGAATCGTTGTTTGAATCAATTGTAAAGACTATGCTGTGAGAATAAGAAGAGAACAAAAGCAGAGTCCTTTTCGTTGGAAGATGCGAAAACAGGACTAACAAAGCAGCGAGAAAGATAGAGAGAAGAACAATCTGCTGGTGATGTTAGCCGAGCAAACGGATGCTATTAATTTATATGGGCGAGCGACGGTGCTATACTCGTTTTCTCGTTCTCTGATAATGTCGTTCGAATATTCGATGACAACGCTACATCAATAAAAAAAAAAAATAACAGCAAATGAAAGATGACGTATTGAAAATCTCATCACACCTGTCGACGAACGTTGTTTCAAATAACAATTGTCTTAATACTAGAACCCATTTGTTTCATAATAAATCCCCTATACGTATATGTATGTAAGAAAAAGAAAAAAGCAATAAGAAATGGATCTTCGCCAGCAGTATGAAGCGTAATGATACAATTATCATCGGGCATCACTAGTATAAATCGGTTGAATCACTCATTTACCGACCGTTGTAACAGAAAAAAAAACTGAGACGTAATCGAATTAGTCTGCCGACACTTCCTGTATATATATATATGCCTGAGTATATGATGTGTATGTGTCTGTTTCCTTTTTCCCTCATTGCTCGCTTTTTTTCTCAATTTGCCTTCCCATTGACCTACTCTTCATTCTCGCTCTTCTATCATGTGTGATTTTTTTCTAGTCGAACAAGTGTAATCATTATCTTGCGTTACTCGTGCATTTCCTAGAATATATGCCTAACACGGATCGATCTTAATGATGGTTATTTGTTTAAAGAATATGCACCGAAGAAAAAAGCAAAAGAAGAAGAAAAAAAAAAAGAAACAGATAAATTATTCTTTATTGATTTGTTAGACATTTATTCACATATATATATATCATTCTTACTAATCATAAATAACTTTTTTTTAATATCATGATCTTTTATCTTGAATAAATCGAAGGTGGTATTATTACTTTTCTTCATCATTTTTGTTTGTTATAAACTACATCTATTTCTTATTCACACATCATTAGTATATATCATCGATAAACAAAGAAAAACGGATGTCTGTATAAATGTAATTCATTATAAAACATGAGAAGAAAAGGTAAAAGAAAGAAAACATGTTTAAACATTAGGAAGGTGACGATTTCCGGTATGTAGTCAACAATAATTTTATTTTTTAATAAAAAAAAGAACTATAGAATTTAACAAAAAATAACTTAAGACATTGTGAGTACTTATTTAATCAAATGTTTTCAAACAAACATGCAAACATATCCTGACAACAACATGGTAAGGTAAAATTATTTATCAACTTATTCTTCATATCACGCACTTCTTTGTCTTTTTCTACTCATTATAGATAATAAAAAAAAAAGAAAAAGATCTTCACTAAAATGAATATGCAAAGCAAAAAAAAAACACGTCCGCAAAAATTTATTAACAATCGTGGTGCTTAAGAGATTTTTCCACAATTTTATTCTGTGATAAATATAAAACTGTTTGTGTATTCCAAAATAATTCAATAAAATAGAAAAAAACAAACTATATTTTCTTTTTTTGCTTTTTCAATTATATAATACTTATATCATAAATCTATTATGTTTTATGATCATCTATGTCGTTTCTTTTTTTTTGTTTAATAAAGATAAATTATATTATATTCACTTCACTTGACAAGACAAATACTTCTTTATATCATAAATAATATAATATAAAGTTATTAAAGTAATTCATTAATTTGAAATTAATAATATTAAATAAATATTAGTTTTAAGTTAATTACAACATAAATGTATACCTTCGTGTTCGAAATGTAGCATGAGCAATACGGCGTCGACTAGCAGCAGCAGCCATTTATTTGTTGTTTTTTTATCTCATTTGTAAAGGTTATATGTTCATTATGTGAATATACATTTAGAGTCTCAGTTGTTGGTCGTCACTTGAAAGATCACGTTATTCAAAGGTAGTAATAGTAATGGAATGCTTCTATATTCTCGATCTTTATCTAGTTGTCTCTTTTATATATCTTTTCTTCGGCAAGAAAGCATAATTTTTATACTACCCATTGCCAAGCATCTATACTCAAGATCAATAGCGAGTTCATTTGCAGTTCTAAAGCTCTACTCATAGTTGTGCTGTTGACATAACTACTTTTTCTCTCACTCTCACATCGGCACACTTTCTCTCTCTCTCTCTCTCTCTCTTTCCTTCTCTCTTTATTTCTATTCTCCACTAAGCACCTATTTTTTTTAACAAAGAATATTCAGTAGGGTCTCATCGTGCGTCATAAGCAAAAAGCGAACAATATGTTCATGGGTTTTTCTTAAAAAGGAAAAAAAAAAGAGAAAACTTAGTCTGAACCAACAAACGATGAGAGAATATGTCAAGCAAGAAAAATATCGTCTCCATTTTCTATGTTTTTCTACATTCGATTCCTTGTCACACAATGAATTCATTGTCACATTGGATCCTTCTGCGAGAACACAATAAATACAATAGGGGATGTTCATGAAAAAAATTGAATAAATTTGTAGAGCTCAATTTCCTCCTTGGGTGCATATTTTTTTACCATTACTTGGGTTTTTTTCCTTTCTTATTTATTAAAGAGAATAAAGAAAACAATAGAACAGATATATTCTATACATGTACGATAGAATGAATATGAAATATGATCGATTAGAAAATCTTCGCCTTATGAATTTCATTAAAAAACAAATAACAACTAAATGTTTTTTTTCTCATGACTCAATTTAATTACTAATATCTATTCGATACCATCATATAGAAATTAGGAAAGTCTTCAATATGCAAATCTTCTTTAAGAAAATGATCTGTTCTTTGATGAGAAATAGCATGTTAATATCGTCGACATTTTACTTTTTGTTGTTTTTTTTAAAGAATGAAATATAAATTCGAAAAACATATTTTGTCAATTAAGGTTAAATTGACGTCAGAACATGATTATATATTTAAATAAATCTTTATATATTTTTGCTATACTTGACATAAGACGAAGACAAAAAGACAAGAATTTCATCATCTAGGCATATTCATTATCTAATATGTTTCACTTGTTTTTCTTTCTTAAGATATATTCTATATACAGTGCGTGTCAATTATAGAAAAAGTTGAATTACCTAGCCTATCCAAAGTATACTAGATGATAGTTGTCAACAAGCATATCAAAGTAAAAATAAACTAACTAAAACGTTATAATGAACAATTGAAGAAGAAAAAAAAGAACTAGAACATTAACCAAAATGATATTCAAGATGAAATTACATATCTATTTCGGTCTTAAGGTTAAATATAATATAATACATTTATATTTACTTATGATGATATATCATTCGTCTTAGACAAGATTGGCATGTAAAACTAAAAGAAAAAAAACTTCTGATTCCTGTTTTTCTTTGTCTACAAGTGGAAGTTCATAAAGAAAATAAAAGAAAACAGGAAAAAGAAACAAATTTATTTTTTAATGATCTTATTATATAAAGTTAGAATAGAATTGCTCAGAGTTTGTCATCTATTATTGTAATGTTTTCTTTTTTTACCAATCAAAATAATTTCTAATGAAACTAATCAATGTTTTAAATGTTGTATATTAAAGACAGTCATTTTCATGCCACAAAATGTTTTTCCGTTCCTTTCTATACAATATAAAGACATGAAATATCAACAGAAAAATAATAGACATTTACAATTCTAAACAAAACATTCTACATTTGAGTTTGAAAGAAAAAAAGAATTAGAAATTATGATTTACATGAGTTTAAACTATCACCATATTTTCTTTTAGTCTACTTCAAAATTTATTTTCAATATAACTAATTAAAACAAGAATTATAACAAGAATTAATTCTATTCAATTCAAATAATCTTTCATAATTAATTTCCAGAATTTCTTTATTTAACAAATGTAACTAGATAAGAATTCTGGGTAGAAAAAAAAAAAAAGAATTTTCGACAACTTAAACTATTTTCATGAAAGTTAGATGCATGTCATATATATTAATAACTGATAGAAATATCAAACTAAAAAACAAACACAAAAAATTCTATGTATAGATGTAAAAATATCATATCAAATTTGTCGAGCATATCCAGATGTTTTTTGTTTTCATTGAAGTATTCGGTATAATAACAAATATCAATATAAGTTGTTATTAACTAGATAATATTTCAAACATAGAATAATAATGATACTATTTTAATTAAAAAGAAAAAGAAAACGAAAGGAATATTTATTTTTTTTTTTAATATTTTTCTGAATATTCAATAATAACATTTATAAAGAAATTTATTTTCTATTCTTAAAAAGAAAGAAAGACAAAATTAAAATATTTTTATTTTTCTTTGTTCTTGTTTTACATACTTCCGTAAAGATTTCCGACATGACCTAGTTATCTTGAATGTACTTTTATTTATGCTTAATTTACAATCGTGAATACAATTGAAAAAAAATATATATATATATGAAACTTTTCTCAATATTATGCTGTAAATTATTTAATATATAATTAAATATTAATTTTTTCTTTCTTATATATAATTAACTTTTTAATTGCTTCATTCATTTTATTTAATTAGTTATTGACTGCATATAGATTTAATTTTTAGAAAAAAATTCATTTAAATGAATCTTTACATGGCACAAAATTCTAAGTTCATAAGGTATATATATTCAAAACAAGAAATAAAATAATATATTCCTATGAATACAAGTGTTTATTTCAAATATGTTACAATGTTTAACAACTGTTTTATATAATTAACTAGAATTATCTGTTTTCTTTTTTTATCTCTATTTTTCTTAGAGAATCCTTAAAGAATGTTAAGTATTCTGTTCATTAAACAATAAAGATGACTAACGCAGTTTTTTCTGAAATTAACAAAAATTAAATTATTCTTTTTTAGTGTATAATTAATCAAAGACTAAATTTTCAAGAAATCTCTTGAAATCTTTATACATTAACGAAACTAATAATTGTATTTGTAAATGAGACGTATTCAATTGCAATATTTCGACTGAAAAAGTCTTAAAAAAGTTCTTTAACTTTTTAAAAAAAGAATTTTTTAATATCATCTAGAGTTATTTTACCGTGTATGTCGAGAACTGTGGTGATGAGAATGTAGTCCACGAGCATTAACAGTAAGATAAGGTATTGTTGGATGAAGAAAATTGCTTGTATTAACTGATGATGATGATACTGTTGTTGTACTCGGTGATACTGATGCATGTTGACTAGTAATTGTACGACTAAACTTAGCTAAAGACGGCGAACATGTACCAAGACATGATCGATTTAATACATCAGCAGGTGGACGTGGTTCTTGTCGTGGTAAACAAAGATCACGAATTGCAGCTCGAGGAGATGTTGGAGATATAGGTAGACGGGCTGCCGGAACTATAGGAAGCATAAAATGTCGAGTAAATCTTAATGTTGGCCGTTGTGAGGATAATAAGTTATGATTAATAGCTGAAAAAGATGATGCATCGCTCCATGGAGGATTACTACTAGCTGATGTACATGTTGAAGAAAAACTTGCATTTTGTGGATCTTGTCGAAGACGAGCGCGAATCATAATGATAATAATAATAATACTTTTAATTCAATAATGATGTTTTACATTAATATAAGGCTTACATCTGAAGAAAATCATCGGATTGGACAAAATCACATTATTTTAGTTGTTGTTTTTTTTTTTTTTTTTTTTTTTCTTGTGACAAAAAATATACTTCAAGGTGATAAGAATATAGTTGTGTGACCCAGCTGACGTTGTCGCGTCATTGTCAATCTAATGAAAAATACATATGAGTGTGCGTGTTTATGAGTCGAATAGAGGCCGAATTAGCAAAGACTTACTTTTTTTTTTCTCTTTTCCTCTCGATTTTGATTTTACAATGATGATGATGATTCAGTTTAGTTGCTCCTTGCTTGCTGATACTCTCTCTTTCGCTCGGTTTCCGTTCATGAAGAAAAAGAGTAGGAGAAAGAGATATTACGACCACTAATAATAAAAAGAAAGGGAGAAACAAAGTTGTAAGTTGTATTCTCTTTTATTCTTCTTGTTGTTCTTTTAGACTCCTAGCAATTATAGATTTCCGTTATATTGCTATACTTGTAACAAACTGAGCACATGAGGGTATATATATATATATATATGCTTGAAGTCTTCGTTTTTTGCTTTTTCTTATGCTACTACGGCTACGACTACTATAACAATAGGAATAAAATAGTAACATACATGAATTGAATTATGTCAAGACAATTTGTCTCAAAGGCTTTGCACTATTATTCTCTATCGTCTATAGATATATATACATACACCGTAGAAAAAAAGATCACTCACTACTACATATATATTGTGTGTATGTGAGCGTGAGAGAACAACAATAAAATCTACCCAACAACTGAAATATATGTGATGTGTCTTACTTCGAAAAAAGATAAAAAGACGAGCTCGAAAAGAGAAGAAAAAGATGGGAGAGAAAGAGAAAACGTTTCGCTATGATGCTTTCTATAGATAATGCGTGTCCCATTAACAACGAGTTTATAGCAGAATGGCGACAAAAACGACCAAGATCATTCAAATTAACACAAAGAGACAATGAGTGCCGACCATCATCATGTTAAGAACAAAAACATTTGTTTAGATATAGAAAGAAAAAGCAATAGAAAAATCTTTTTTCTTTCTTTCTTTCTTTCTTTACTCTAATTAGTTTAGCTAAAAATAACCATCGAAAATTTTAATTAGAATATGTCAATATAAAATAAAATGTGTAAATCTATAAGTGACATAAATCCTTACGTGAAAGAAAAGAAAGTTTTTAAGTACAATTATGTTATGGACTTCATACTTTTAATAAATAGATTATTTATTTGTACGGCTAAAAAATAATATAAAGGCGATTATATAACGAATCTTTTTTTTTTTTTTTTTGCCTATTCTACTTTGTTTATATTATTTTATTTTGTAGATATAAATTTTTGATTTAACGAGTATATTGTTGATAACATGAGATAGAAGACAGGAAAGAAAAAAAAAAGAAAAAAAGGAAGTGAAAGCAACGATCTGTATTAATTTGATGACATGCTTTCAATTTGTTCTTTTCTTGTGTTATTGATTTTTGTCGTTGTCATTTTTCAGATAGTTAATCTTCGAATTTTTTTTTCGAGACTGTTATTCGTATTTTTTGTTTCTCATCGTTTTCAATCTTATCTTATCGAATCTTGAAATTGACTTATCGTATATAATAAAAAGACATTGAACGAACAGCATCAGTCTACTGTAAAATGACCGATAAGTTAAACGAGCTAGAAAAGAAAAAAACAAAAGTTGCCTCAATATGCAAAAAAAAAAAGAAAAAAGAGATATATCTATACATTTAGTTCAACCTCATTTTGTTTTTTCTTTGCTTCGAAAAGTTTCTCCTACGATAGTATTGGTCATATATTTGAAGATAAAACTAAGATATGCTTTTATTTAAACAGAAAGAAAAAAAAAATCAATTTTGAAAGAGACAAAATCGTTGTTGTCTTGCATTGTAAATCAATAATTAGTGAATAAAGTTATGCAACAATAATACTCTGATGAATTAATGCTCTTGAAAATCTATTGTTTGATGAATTAATTATTTAGAAGAATATTTTTCTTTAGATACATATGTTGTTAATAGTTGTTATGTGATGTTATCAATAGATTGTTAGAATGTTTTCTTACAGAATTTATTTAATTTACAAAGTTGAGAACTTATGTTTTGAATACGAATTGAAATAATAATTCAAACTGTTGAATGATTTGATTATTATGGAAATCTTATTATTACATTGAATTCGTGACATTTTGAGGAAAAAAAGAACTATTATCAATAAGGACATTTGTTGATGCATTCTGAACATAGATGAAATCTGAAAGGAAGGATATGAACTTTTCAATTTTATTCAATATAGAATGTGATGTTATGTATTTAATGGTAGATGATGAAATTTCGATGATTAACAATAAAAAACTTTGTTGTTGAAAACAGAGTCAAGTATATTGTATATAACAAAGCAGACTTTACAATCAATTATATTTGCAGAACTTGTCTCTTTTTTGTAAAATGAATCGCATCAAATAAAAAGTGATTAAAAAAGGGTAACAAAAAACAACTAATTCAGAGTTAAACAATGTCTTTGGATTTGTATTTTGAGAAACTTACTGTTCATCATTCAAAGTTTCTTAGGTTTCTTCATCAACTTCTAAATATTTATGTTATATGTCATTCAAAAAAAAAAATTTTATTTTATTTTTGCTCATTAAAAACAATATCCATCAAACATTGACAAAGATAGTCATCGTGATATTCAAGATATTCTGGACAATAAATTGTCCAAATGGCCTGGATTAATACATCTGCCAACCATACCTGATGATGATGATGATAGACATGAGCCTTGCTTTTCAATCGAACATGCCATTATTTTTACATTTCTTTGTTGATGACAGGAACAACATGCAACATATGTATTATTAGGTACAATGATTTATTGATGTGTTGATAGATAATAACAGCGCTTCATACCAAGGCCACAAAAATAACTGGCCAACCGAACTTAAATATCATCACATTTATCATTTTGGTATTAATAAAGCATTAACCATTAGTATAGACATTACTATGATAGCATGTAAGATGAAAATAAATTTGAATACAATCATTTTCTGATAGAAATTTCTTGTAAACAAGTATTCATGCTTCATGGTAATATAGATATAAACATAATTTTCTCGTATTTTTACAATAATTTATCATAGCAAGATAATATGAATAATTACATATAGATAATTTCCCATTATTCCATTCAGTAAACATTATTTTCTATTGCTTTTATTCTTAACAAGTGAAATTCGTCTCTCACTTACTATTTATTGTAAGTTATTAAAATTAATATCGAATGATATCAATGACGTACTATTCTTTATAATGTTGATTTTCAGTAGTAATCAGTTAATAGTTATTGACGATAAAAACTATTTCAAGGATTAATCTTGCAAATTTACACAGCTTTATTCATATGATGAGATGTAACTATTCCAGATTTTATAACACTACTTGAAAATAAAAACAGAGCAATTGGAATGATTTTTTTTTTACTATGCAAAGAAACGAATGAAGATAAATATAAAATTTTATGAGTCTATCGATCATAAAATTAATATACGTAGATGATCGAAATAATATTCAATTCTATTTCATACAAATTCATATTTCTATGTAATAAAATCCATTTACAAAAAAAAAAAAGTGCTTTTGACGTTTACTCATTGTCTTATAATATTTATTTGTCGATATTTTATTTAATTATTAAACATAAAAAAATAGATATATGCATTTCATGAAGTTCTTTTCTTTTTCTATTTAAACAATCCATAATACTTTTCAAGTATATCGTTTCACACATTGGCGAGAATAATCACCACAACATTTGAAATTTCCTTCGCAATCAATATCAGTTTTGCATCTAACAATAAAAATATCTGGCTCATCAAATAATGGTGGACATGAACCTGATTTTATAGTTGTTGTCACTTGTTCTGTTGCAGATTGTTCATTTGAAGGACAACAAACAGCATAACTATCATTTGGGGCAATAAAACATGTAGAATTTGATGGACAATCTTGATGAGTAGGACCACGACCACAAAAGTAACCTGACAATGGAGCTTGTCCATTTTCACAAGGACTTGGCTTACATGTGCATGTTGGACAACCTTTTTCATCTAATACATGACCATATTCACAATAAATATCACATATTACTTCACATTTCGGTTTCTTTATCGATTTTGAAATAGTCAATGGTGCTAAAACAGATATGAGTAAAATTGTAAAACGAAGCATTCTTTGTTAAATATGATTTAGTATTTATGTAAAAGTCAACGAATATTTACATCATATAAAAATGACTGCGTCAAAACCTTCTTGTATATCTTATAATGTATCTGTCATCAAATATATAATCATGATTTTGACGTCAAAAAAGAACATTACAGCAAATAACACATGAACTGTACGTCATTTATTACTTGATATTATTACGATCATGCATGAAGGTTTTTCTTTTAATAGCTACACAAGCATTTTATGAAGGATGGAAAAAAAAATAAATATAAGTCTTAGTATATGACTTAAATGAGTCATACTTTTCAATCAATCTATGTAACCAACTTTAAGGACAGATATATCAGTTTAAGTTCAGGGTCAAAAAAGACATATAAATGTTTCCTTAAAAATATAAAAACTACTAATTGAAATATCATTGAATTATACTTAATCACCAAAATTTTTGAAGCTCAAACTGTAATATAAAATATTGCTCATCAAGAGTCTTCCCTCTTTCGTAACCAAAAATTTTTATTGTTTTTTTCATATTTAGTTTTTTATGGCCTTTGCATAGTCTCAAACAATATCTATCGAGTTAGTGTCTTTTAAAATTTACAAATTGTTTGAAAACGTTTATAAATTCGAAAAAAAAATCAAATTAGCAAAAATGTACATTCTTTCATAGTTTTTCTGAAGCCAACTTTTTCATGAAAAAAAAATGTGTAGAATCTGCTTATCCATTGCTCCTGACTAATACGTCTGATCGAGCTGCAACCTTTTTCACATTTACTATACACTGTTTGAGACAGATTGGTCTTTCTTATTTCAAAAAGTATTGCTCTGCTGATTTTTGGTAGGTCTAACAAAAACAAAACATGAGTTTTAGAAGATAATTTCGATCTTAGTTTGATCAAGCATACCATCTTGAAAAAATGAGGAGGAAAGGAATGATCATTGTCATCCTAGTATTTCACAGAAGACAGTATCCGAAAAATTTGAGTCTATGACAACTTTTGCTGTACACGTTGAGATTTACTTGTTTTGAATATTTCAAAATTTTCAAACGAGTTATTCTCCAGAGATTCCAGAAAAGATGATTAATCTTCATGATTAACTTTTTTTCCTTTAGTATTTTACACAATATGTAAATTTCTCTATAATAGTTATTCTATTATTCTATTTAAAAAAAACCAATTTAAGTTTATTATTAGTGAAGATATTTAAAAATTTTATTTGTCGTCCAAGTTGATATACATTGTGAATTAAAATCATAGACTTCAATGATAAGAATAACATATCATTAACACTAATATGTAGATGTGAGAAATACATCATTACTCTAATAGACATTCGTCATTATGGATACAAGTATAGTTTTTGAGTGATCTATGTCAAAATTTATGCGAAGTTTTTTCTATATTTCATCTCATTTGCCGACGTAACTACCTATCGAACATTTGTTATTATCGATGGGAAATCCATACTGGCAAAATATGCTTTTTGAAGATGTTTTTGACATGAAAAGAAATAAGATACTAATTGAAAAATGATTAATAACTTGATAATTGACAACAACAAAAACATAAAGCTATGCGATAACTTAGTGTTTATTTATTTTATTGTGCGAAAACTGCATAAATAACGTGGATGATTTATGCTTTTCGTTGTTACTGAAATAATTAGTTAAATCATTTCTCATCCAAGTTACAAATAGGTAAATAGAAAAAACGAATCTTTTTTTTATATATGCATGATCGAACATGTTATTTAGTTCATAAGAACACAATAGTTATTTTTCATATGTGTGCAACTCATTATCGTGTGTGTCACTGATTGAGTCTGTGTGCATAACATGAATATGATACATTTTACTAGGCTTTTGTTCTATTTTACTAAAGTTATATATAAATCTAAAGGTGAAAGGTATATTCATTCAATAATAGTCTTGATGTTCTGAAACTTCAATAATGTAAATTTCAGTTTAATTAGTTTTCTAGTCAAACAATGACACATGCTATTGGCTATAGACGACAAAATCAACATTCCAGTTTCTCATTCATTTTGTCGATTTTGTTAAACTTAATAATTTCGACCATGATCATAATTGTTGTAGTCTACCTAATATTGAATAATATTGCTTTCTCTTTCTTTACGCATAATATATATATCATATGAATTATTATTTCATACAATCAAATATGTTCTGATGAAGGAAAGATATAACAAAGATAACTATAACAAAAGTTTGCTTCTTAGGAGATTGAATAAATGCTTGATATTTACTAAAGTAAATATCTATTTAATTTGATAATTAAAAACAGATGTATTATTTGCTAAAAGATTATATATACATATATATGCCAAGCAACATTCAAATAGATGAAAATCAACACTTTTGCTACTTTTTGAGACGGTTGTAAAGCTTTTGGTAAGAAAATCAAACGAACTTCATCATTTACATGAACATCTAAGATACAGTTTGTCAATGATTTCTAGCAATTGTCAATAAGGAGGGACTGCAAAATAGGCTAAATGAACAATAGCTAAAGTTTATTTGATAGAGCATACCGAGAGTACGACAGAATGGAAGAGTAGAATGCTTTCTGTACTCTTGTTATAGTCACAATTGTTAAGAATATGGAAAATTCTGCAAGCTTGACATACTGAACATTATTCGATAATTTTTTTCAACAATGAGCAACTCGAATAGATGCGATTTGTTGCAATGTATTCAAAGTATTTGNTGTTATATTTCAAAGAGTTAAATAAATTTTAACAATCTTACCAAGATAAGCTTGACTTGCACCTGGTGCACAAAATGTTCCAACTCTTAAAATAATATTATGATCAGCAGCAATTCGTTGAAAAAAAACATTGTCAATGACTACATCGCAGAAAGTGACATCGTCGAAATGATAGATTGACGATTGCTACATTACCGAAATCATACTTCACCGAAATACAGTTGGCCGAATTTCGGCCAACTGTATTTCGGCGATGTATCCTTCGGCGAAGAGCATACTTACCCTTATAATTAGTAATATCTTACAAGACAGCAAGATCTTTTGAGAATCTTATAACACGACTTATGAGGGAATATCTTTAGACTTCTTTTTCTTTCAATTTCAATGGTTTTCTGACCTCTGAATGCTATATAGTACTCTAATGAAGAAAAACATAAAAGAATTTGGGTTACTATTGAAATTTGATTAATCTATCGAATTTTTAATATGTCTGTTTTCTAGACTGTGCATATTCGGCAAAGTTGTATTTTAGAATTTTGATCTGAAGCTTTGTGCATATAGAGAACTCAAACTAGACTAGCTTTTACAAAAAAATTTCACAAGTTTTGACTGAAGTCTCTTCGAGATATGAGACTTTTTAGATATAGATTCTTTCCATTGATAGTGTATATTACAACATGCATTTTTGTAAAAGCTTCCTATCTCGAAGAGCTTCTATTCAAAACTTCTATATTTTTTCAAGGAAACTAGTCTAGTTGACCTCTTCATATTCGAAAAGGTTCATATCAAAGTTCGATAACTTCGTCAAGTACCAATAAGAACTCAAATCCTTTTAGGATTCTGATGAGAACATTATGTAGTATCTAGAGACAAAAAAAAATCATTGAAATTAGAAGAGAGTAGCAGAAAAGATATTCTTGTTAGTGTAAAATTTCTGAGACTAAGATTTTGATGTGGTTTTTGTCTGATTGTTTGACATGAATAAGAGAATTTATGATCTTCACAGACGATTCTTAACAAATCTGTCTACTTTATAAAATCGTATTATGATCTTTTGACAAGATTGTACAAATCATATGATCTTGCAATAATCGTACGCCAAGAGTTAAGATAATTTTTGCAGAGACCATAGTTTTTCATTATTTGAAAAATCAATTTGAAATCTTCTTGATTTAAGGTTCAAGTAAATCATTTGAAAATAATCATGCATGTCGTCGTGGACTTTTCTGTGGTACAAATACTGATGGTGAAGATGTTTTAGACTCTGGTCATCAACCATTAGGTAGTATTCGTTTAAGTCTTGGTTGGATGAGTCGATATGAAGATATTCAATGTTGGATTAATTTTCTTCGTCAAATTATTTTACAAGGTATTGGAATTGCACCTCTATTATCATCTGTATCTATAAATAATGGATATAATGAAGAAATAAATTTAATTTTAACTCATATTTATATTTATCCAATAAAATCTTGTGGTTCAATATCAGTTAAAGAATGGCCATTAACATCGATATCATTTTTATATGATCGTGAATGGATGATTATTGATCAAAATTTAAATCCATTAACACTTAAACGTTTACCATCTTTATCACAAATAAAACCATCTATTAATTTAAAACAAAATCAACTTATACTCAATGCAAATAATCATCCATCATATATTATTGATATTAATAATGGTTTATAAAATATTTTTAAGAAATATTTTTAATTTTTCTCGTTTTTATTTTAAAATATTTTAGATTCAACAATTATTAAATCAACTGTAAATTTAAATGATGGAATAATGTGTCATGTTTATGGTGGTGAAATTGAACAATGGTTAACTCAAGTCTTAGGTATTTATGCAACATTAGCTCGTCGTACAAAAGATAGTCAAATGACATTAGCAAATGAAGGTGCTTTTCTTCTTGTATATGAAGAAAGTGTTAGACAAATTAGAACGAATTTAATTGAAAATGAAAATATAACACATGAACGTTTTCGACCAAATTTAGTTGTTGATAAACAATATATAAATCAATCATATTCAGCTTATAGTGAAGATTTATGGAAACGTTTAATTATTTTAAATGAATATAATATTGAATTGAAAACAATTGGTTTATGTCAACGATGTTCAATAGTTAATGTTGATCCATTAACTGGAAATAATCAAAGTCGTCTTTTTACTCGTTTACAAACACAACGAAAAGAAATAAATTCATTAAGAGCAAATTTTGGAATTTTATTAAATCTTTCAAAAATATATGATCATGTTTTTGTTCATGTTGGAGATCGTATTCAAGTTTTTAAATAATTATTATATATTGTTTTTCGTTTTTTTTTTATTTGAATAAAATAATTCTATAAAAATATTTAAAAAGAATTGTCAATGCTATGAATGTCATATACGTACGGCATTCAAAGAGTTCCTGAATCTGACGAGGTTCGAATCTAAGTTCGAAATCCAACTTATGACTTGATTATTATACGATCGTCGTCAAGTTGTGTAGACTGTGTTAATAGTAGAATAGAAATAATCGATAAAACTCAGTCAGATAAGATCCCAGTCGCCATGACTGAGAGACTACGCTGTTAGACACATATTCAAAAGATATGGTGTGAAAATCTCAATAACAACAGCCATGGAATGGCCTTAGATAAGTCACTGACGACTATTGGTCTTAAATCACTTGTCCGATAGCATACTGACTACGTTGTGACATACACATGCTCTGGTGTCTGGAATGTGGTTAGTAAGCGTGTATGGGAAGCTCAAGCCATTGAATGCAAAGACTCTGCATCAGGTCGGCCTTCTGCTCAGACCTACAGCTATTCATAATTGTAAGGAAGATATTGGGCTATTGGGTCTAATACTCGGCAGCACTTCATACCACAGCGTAGCTGAAAGCCAAGGTTCTTCTTCTAAACAAGACTCCTAAAACAATGTGTTTAACTAGGTTCAAAAGTGAGAAAACACATTATCGCCAAAAGATCAGCTAAGAAAACATATTTTAGCGCACATTTCACTATGTTCAACAATATCTCATTATTCCACAATTTTTAAGTAAATCAATGCACTTTTAACGAATTTATGCAGGATCTTTAGTCCGATAGCTTATGGTTATAAGAATATGCCCGAGATGGAAATTCGTATTTAGAATTCGCTCTGATTGTTTTTGTATCAAAATGACAAGTCATTTTTTTAACGATTATAAAAAAATACGATATTCGTAAAGATGTCCGACTAATTTTCTTGGTATATATGTGTGAGATTATCGTAGTTTCCTATTATCTATTTTTTAACGCGTTTATACAGTAATTTTCTCTAAGTTTAAATTTGACATTGATCTCCTGTCAATGTAGCATTGTTATCGTTACATTATTTCTATCTGTTTATGATTATTACTCTCATCATATTAATGCTTCTTTGCTAATCTATTCAACGAGCAAGTTTTCTTAGAACTATTGAAATTCTTGTATTTTAGTTTCGGAATGAATAAGCACTGAAAGTTGTGAAGATAATATCATCAAAAAAAAAAGAGCAAAAAACAAGACCAATATAGAATTGAATATATTCAAGGTCAATATTGTTAGCAGAAAAACAAACCAAGTCTAATAGTGTGTAACGGGAAATTAATTATGTTTTTTTAATTAATTCGCAAATGAATAAACTATGCTGACGGAATAGAATCGATTGAAATATAATGGTCTGTTTGTCTTCTCAGTTAATGTTAACATACTTCAATATTTATTATGATGATAGAGAAATCTTTGCTTTTCTTTTTGTAGCTGTTGATTCTGCTAAGACTAGACGCATAAGTAGTAATGCATCAAAGTTGAGAATATTTGATTTCATTCTTTCTCTCCTATGATTGTACAGTTCATTTCTCATATTGTGCATCAGTCGATATTTTCAACCAATCATGTGATTTGTCGAACTTTTTTTTTTCAATGAGTCGTAAGACAGTTTTATAACATACTTAAGATAACATTTTCCTATCAGAGAAGTAAATAAAAATACAAAATATATGATGAGGACATTAAAATAAAGGAACATGTTTTTATGAGTTTTCTTTTTGTGTTTTCAGTTAACATTGTTTTTAAAGTCTCATGAGCCGTCGTATCTTGAGAATAGTTTTGTATATCGCGTACCCTGGTTCTGAATAATTTTGATGTTGTAATATTGTTATTCTCAGATAATGCTTCAAGTTGGTAAAAGATTATTTTTTTGGTCAAACCCATTAAAGTAAATGTTCTTTTACTTTCTGTGTAGTTCTGTTATATTCATCTTTGTATCGTTGCTGTTATCTTTCTCGTGCATTCAAGTGTGGATGAAGAAAAGATTCACATTCACACCTAGACACTAAAATCCTGGATCTGCAGACCTTACACTCGTGCTCATCATTAGACTCACTGCAGTTTATGAGTTTTCGACAAGGGGGAAAGAACGACAATTTCATACATCAGTGTTCTCTAAGAGTATTTCGAAACTGCCATGTAGAAATTCTTAGCTATTTTAAGTCACTATCAAGATGTGTTATGCATATATTAGTTTAAATTCGTTTTAGATAAATCTGCCTGGTAATAAAGTCCAAATACTGTGTCTTACTTCAAGATGTGAGTGTTAGTATAGCATGATGATGTATTTGAGCTTTATGATCAAAAACATTTATATAGAATGAACTGAAACTGATATGCTCGTAACACACGTTCATGAAAGACTTGAAAAAACTCAGAACGTCTTCAGAATAGTTTTAACAGACTCTTGAAGTACATTGAAGTACGGAATTTTCGCTTTTTTCGCCGTTAGTATTCGAGCAATATCTACCATATATCTGATATAACAGTGTTTGAAATCAATAATAACAGCTATACCAAATACCATGTTTATCAGTAAACACATTATGGTAGTTGAAACTAATAACAGCTGTCATACTCAATACTACGTTTATCAGTAAGTACACTAAGGTATTTGAAATCGATAACAACACCCATATGCAATATCGTGATTATAAGTAAGCATACGACAGTATTTGAAAACGCAATTTTCGTCTAAAAGTTTTTCCGTGAATGCCACGATATGTTCGTAAATATTGACTAGCAACTGGTTTTGCAAGATAATAAGACTAACAATAGAAGGGTATGGATTATAATTCAAGAATATTGAATATATTCGAGTCAAATGAAAAGGTCTCACCGGCAAATTTAAAATATATGTTAGAGATCAACAATTCAAAGTTTCCACAAGATTCTTTTTTTCTCGTTTTATCCTGGTAGAATAGAACCACTTGAGTTAGCTATATAAGAACAAGTATGTTTCAGATACAGAAAAAAAAACATTTTAATAGATAAGTATACGACACTGTTATGTTCAAATATGTGGGAAATAGACTCGAAATTTTATACCATCGCAATTTTTTTTTTCGTTATGCAACTCGAAGAGCTCTATCGAAAAATGACAAAAAGAAAAAAATAAATCTTGCTGAAACTTTGAATTGTTGGTATTTTACATTAGAGCCCATGAGGTACAACATTTTTGGACAAAAATCATTATCCTAGTTTCAATAAAATCTTTTTGATTTAAGTTTGATAGTCACTTCGAATTCTTCTATCAACACACGTTACTTATTTCGCAGACAATCTTGACTCTAGTTTCAAATCATAATTGATGGTAACTTTTAGAACACGATCCGAATCTGGGTTGGGTAGGGATCTAGCACTATCTTGACAGGCTTTACATTGCATACACTGTAAACACCTTAAAATTCGAATATATCATTCTGTGCACATCATAAACAGCTCTTTGTTTTAAATTTCTTAGTTTGCTGATGAAATTTTTCAGTTGACAAGAATATATTTAATGTTCTTGAATCACAATCCATATCCTTTCATGGTAAGTCCAACTTTTCAAATTTTTTCTCAGTATATTTAAAGCATTTTAAAATATATTTCTATATTTATACATATTATATATATGATTCAGTAGAGCTTATCATACTCATAGATAAAGTACTGTATGAACTATATACAGACCATAACATCAATATAACAGCACATATCGTTGATAAAATAAAAAACAGTTCATTAACTTTTTGAACGCCTTACTTCTATCGAAAGAAATAAAGAATTTCTGAAACATGTACACGAACAAAATATCAATCGATTGAAGAAAGGGAAAAACATAAATATGATACAAAGCTTATTTGCTTTTTTTTTATAATCTTTAAAGAAATGTTCTTTTTTTTTTTCAAGTCGAAAAAAAATCAAGGACAAATTTAAAAGTACGCAAATGTGCTTTGCTCGGTATATCACACATACGATAAAACAACATACGAAATAATTCTTATCACTTACATTGTTTGTTGTTTGATATATATTTTTTTCTTTCATTTTCATTATCTTTAAAAGCAAGAGCACATAAACTGATTTGCGTATTGATATAGTTATTTGTAAAAAAAGAAAATGGTCAAAGAAACAACTCAACAATCCACATCTCCAACAGTAGATTATCTTCTATTTTATGTCAATGGTAAAAAAATAATTGAACATCATATTGAACCTGATTGGACTCTTCTTTGGTATCTTAGAAATAGTAAGATATTTATCTATTAAATTTTTATTCATCTATGTATATTTATCCATATATAGAACTTAATTTAACTGGATCAAAATTAGGTTGTGGTGAAGGTGGATGTGGTGCATGTACAGTACTTATATCACAATGTCTTAATCGACATTCTGATGAACTTGAACATCGAACAGTTAATGCTTGTCTTGCACCAATTTGTTCTATTGATGGATGTCATATAATAACAATTGAAGGATTAGGTTCAGTTGCTAAATCAAATCTTCATCCAACACAATCACGTCTTGCTGATTTGTTTGGATCTCAATGCGGTTTTTGTACACCTGGTATTGTTATGTCATTATATGGAACTGTAACATCATCAAATTATTCTAATTCATCACCATTAACTATACAAGATATTGAAGATGCATTTGATGGAAATCTTTGTCGTTGTACTGGTTATCGACCTATTCTTGATGCTGCAAAAACATTTGCAAAAGATATTCATAAATTACCATCAAAAGATTCATCAATATCAAAACCAATATCAACAACATTAGATAAATGTCTTTCATTTGTTAAAAATAATGATAAAGAAATAAAAAAAATTGAATTTCCTCAAGAATTACGTCAACATATTCCTCAATCAATTTATATTAAAGGTTACTTAGATATTAAATAATTATTTAATTAATTCTTTTCTTTTTTTTTGTCTTGTTTTTGAATAGGTTCATTAGTTGAATGGTATCGTCCTATAACACTTAATGAATTACTTCATCTTCGTTCTACTTATCCTGGTAGTGCATCAAAACTTGTTTTTGGTAATACAGAAGTACAAATTGAAACAAAATTTAAACGTTTAAAATATCCACGTTTTATATCTGTAACACATATTGAAGAATTTCAACAACTTACACGTACTCAAACATCATTAATACTTGGTGCTGGTGTTACATTAACACGTTTACAAGCTAAACTTACAGAATGGAATGATGAAAAAGTTGATGGTGGAATTTGTCAATCTATTATTGATCAATTAAAATATTTTGCATCAACACAAATTCGAAATGTTGCTTGCCTTGGTGGAAATATTGTTAATGCTTCACCTATGTAAGTTTTTGTTTTTTCTATTTTTTTTTAAATATCAATAATAAAAAATTTCTTTTGTTTATTTTAAGTTCGGATGTTAATCCCGTACTTCAAGCTGCTGATGCTGTTTTAGAATTACATCGTTCAGAAGCTAATTCAATTCGATTTGTACCATTACGAGATTTTTTTCTAGCTTATCGTCGTGTAGCAATGACAGATGATGAAATACTTGTTAGTATTCATATTCCATTACCAACATCAACAACAAATAAAACATTTCTTCGTTCATATAAACAAGCACGTCGTCGTGATGATGATATTGGTATTGTTAGTGCTGGTCTTCATGTTCAACTTGAACCTATGAATACAACAGATAAACAACAATGGCGTATAGTTTGTGCACGTTTTTCATTTGGTGGCATGGGACCAACAACTATCTTAACAAAAAATACTCAAGAAGAATTAATTGGACAAACATGGTCAAGAACAACTATTAGTAAAGCATGTGAACTAGCATTAAAAGAAATGCCATTAGATGAACATACTCCTGGTGGTCAACCAGAATATAGGTATCTTGTTTTAGATAATATAAGAGAGAAAAAAAAATAATCATACTGGTTTTTGTTTTTTTGTTGTATTTTTAGACGAACATTGGTTCAATCATTTCTTTTTAAATTTTATGTTTATGTTTGTTCTGAACTACATCAATCATCTGTTGATCAGAAAGAACTTTCAGCTGCTCACTTCTACCACCGAGCTGTATCTCATGGTCAACAAATAGTTCCTGAACGACCAGTTTCACAAAAATTCGTTGGTACATCATTACCTCATCGTTCAGCTTATTTACAAACAACAGGTGAAGCAAAATATACTGATGATATGCCTTCATTACCTAATACACTTTATGCTTCATTTGTACTTGCAACACAACCCAATGCTCGAATTAAGAGTATTGGTAAGAAGATAATTGTTTTTAATTTCAAATAAAAAAAAAAAAGAAGATATTCGTATTCTATTTAAAATTAGATCTTGGTGCTGCTTCTAAAATACCTGGTTTTGTTACATTTGTTAATCATAATGATATTAAAGGTAGTAATATGACAGGTGATATTGTACATGATGAAGAAGTATTTGTTTCATCAATTACGCCATGTGTGGGTTCTATTATTGGTATAGTTTTATGTGAAACTGAACGTGCATCATTTGCAGCTGCAAATCTTGTACAAATTGAATATGAACTATTGGCACCAACAATTTTTACAATTGATGATGCTATTGAACATCAATCTTATTTAGATGATGAACGATGTCTTCAACAAGGTGATGTTGAAAAAGCATTTTCTGAAGCTGAACATATTCTTGAAGGAACAATATTAATTGGTGGTCAAGAACATTTCTATTTAGAAACAAATTGCTGTATGGCTATACCATCAAATGATGATCAAGAACTTACATTATATTCCTCAACACAAAATCCAAGTAAAACTCAAGAATTAACAGCATTAGCACTTGGTTATGAAATTAGTCATATAGCATGTCATGTTAAACGTATGGGTGGAGGATTTGGTGGTAAAGAATCAAGATCGTAAGTCAAATAAATAAAATAATATGTGATAGATTCTTAATTTTTGCTATATACATATAGAATTACTCCAACAATAGCTATAGCAGCAGCTGCTGTAAAAGTTGGTCGTCCTGTTCGTATGAATATTGAACGTGATGTTGATATGTCTGTTACTGGACAACGTCATCCATTTAAAATTAAATATAAAGTTGGCTTTACAAATGAAGGTCAATTTACAGCACTTGATATTAATTTATGGAGTAATGCTGGATATTCATTTGATCTTTCAATGCCAGTTTTAGAACGAGCAATGCTTCATATTGATAATACATATCGATTTTCAAATGTTCGAGTACGTGGACGATTATGTAAAACACATTTACCATCAAACACAGGTTTGTTTATTAAAATATTCTATTAAAATTCAATTATACGCTTAATTTCATTTGTGAAACTAATAATGAGTGCAAGTTTTAAATCAAACTTTTGCGCCTTTCAGTTTCAATGGTTTTTTTTTCCTATAGGTGTTTCTGAGCTTATTGAGATACATAGTAGTGCGTTGAGACCTGTTGCAATAGATATGTACAACAGGCTTATTTTCAAGTTAAATCAATGGTTCGAATAATAATAATAACAATAATAATAGTAATGTTAAATTAAGAAAAACACTGTACACAAACGAGTGATTAGCAGCAAGACAAACACACGATAAAAAAAAATTTCTGTTTGAACTTTAAAAATCAATAAGACAAATCGTTTTTCGTTGGAAAACAACCTTAGTCTATAAGAGAGATTTTTCACTTTACGTATTTTGTATTATTAGTATAATGAAGCTAAATAACACGTATGAGTTTCATTTTCTTATTTTAGCTTTTCGTGGTTTTGGTGGTCCACAAGGTCTTTTTGGTTGTGAAACAATTGTTGATCATATTGCTACATATCTTAAATTGGATCCACTTATTATTCGTCGTTTAAATATGTATAAAGAAGGAGATTTAACACATTTTGGTCAACCATTAGAACGATGGAATATACCTCGATTAATGGATGAACTTGTAAAATCAAGTGATTTTATTCAACGACAAAAAAGTATTGAAGAATTTAATAAATTAAATACATATAGAAAACGTGGTATAACAATTCTTCCAACAAAATTTGGTATTGCATTTACATCTAAATTTCTTAATCAAGCAGCTGCTTTAGTTCATATTTATAAAGATGGTTCAGTATTAGTCAGTCATGGAGGTATGAAATACAAATAAAAATAAAGTATTAGGAATTTTTTTTTGTTTTTAAAACTTAGGCACCGAAATGGGTCAAGGTCTTCATACAAAAATGGTATCTGTAGCTGCTGAAGTTTTAGGTTGTAATGTTAATCGTGTACGTATAAGTGAAACAGCTACAGATAAAGTAGCTAATACAAGTCCAACAGCAGCATCCGCTTCATCAGATTTAAATGGTATGGCTATACGTATAGCATGTGAACAAATACGTGAACGTTTAAATAAACTTCTTGTTGATGATGATGCAAATCTTTCATGGGAAAATCTTATAAAAAAAGCATATTTTTCACGTATTGATTTATGTGCACATGGTTATTATGCAACACCAGATCCATTAGGTGCAGATTTTCCACAAAATCGAGCAAATTTTAATTATTTTACACAAGGTGCTGCAACAGCTGAAGTTGAATTAGATACATTAACAGGTGATTGGCATATTTTACGTGCTGATATTCTTATGGTAAATATTCTTATGAATATTGATTTAATCAAATTTATTTATTGATGTTGTTTTTTTTTTTAATTTTAGGATGTTGGTACATCACTTAATCCTCAAATAGATATTGGTCAAATTGAAGGCGCTTTTGTTCAAGGTGTTGGTTTATTTACAATGGAAGAACTTATTTGGGGTGATCATAAACAATATCAATGGACAAAATCAGGTGCTTTATTTACTCGTGGACCAGGTACATATAAAATTCCATCATTTAACGATGTTCCAATTGATCTGCGTGTTGAACTTCTTTCTAATGCACCAAATCCTCGAGCTATTTATTCATCAAAAGCTATTGGTGAACCACCACTTTTTCTTGGTGCTGCAGTTCTTTTTGCACTTAAAAATGCTTGTAAGGCTTATCGAGAACAACAAGGTTATTCAGAATATTTTCCATTAAATTCACCAGCTACTGTTGAACGACTTCGTATGGCTTGTGCTGATGAATTTACTGAACGTGCATGTCTTGATAAACATGAAATATTTCAAGCTCGAGGTTCTTATTAAAATGACATTCAATTATTTTTATATATTCCTAATAAATTGATTAATTCAGCAACAATTTAAACAACAATAAAACATACAACAAATTATTTCAATTCATTTGTTACTTAAACAAGGACAGCAAAAAAAATTTATTTAGTATTTATGCCTTGATACAGAAAAAATAAATATCTTGTTTTTTTTTTCTTTTACTTGATCGCGCCCTTGAATATGTCATATATATAGATCTGTCAATATTAATCAAACGAAAAATTGCAATGATAGAAACGCTTCGAAAAATCTGTCATATCATAAGACAGAATACATATTTAACGTATATGAGAGAAAAGTATCATTGCTATTAACGTAGATAATTTTATTTGATGATGATTAGATAGTTTGTCGTTGGTGTGTTGGTATAAGTAAGGATCTTCTGTGTATTTTGATCTATTTACTTTCGATGCTCATTCAGAATACTGTAATAATTAGTTACATGTCATACGACGAATTGTTTACAGTTAGAAAAGGCTTTTAAAAATTAAATCGAAATATTCTATTTGAAATATTAGTGAAGAGTTTATGCATGTGAATCATATGAAAAACAAAATAGAAGTTGCCCATAATTTGATCTCTAGAATGAAATAGTTATAATAGTGCATATCTATCTAATTCTAGTTGATCAAATTTGAAACATAATCTTATATTAAATATGATTCATAGTTAGTGATGATTCTTGACGTACTCTTCTGTTGTTCTTATACATTTGCCTGATGAATGTTTTTGATCAAACAAATCCAAGAAAATCTAACTGAATGAAAAGAAAGGTTTGATTACAAATTGAAATAATTTTAGAAAAAAGAGATTTTCAAATAATTGCTGAAATAAAAACAAAACATTGGTGAGATGTAGGGATCTACAGACCTACAATAATGTGGATTCGAATCCGATAAAAGGTAAACTTCTGAATTCGGACTTGGAAGAACACACAAATTCCTAATGAAATGTATTAATGATGAAATAAAAAGTCCTTGGTTTAACAATGAACTAAACTATTCTTTATTGATTTTCAATGATACTTGAATCATAATATTTAAGGTTCGGTAAAAAAGACGTCTGTCATATATCGAGTGCTTGATAAAATTTTTTTTCAGGCAAATACTACTGAAATATCAAATAATGAAAAAGCAATAAACATGGATGAAAATGAAATTTTACATATATGATCGACTACTTTTATAAGTCTTCAACCATAGAGATCTAAACCTCTCAGAATAATTATCCATTTATAAGACATTATTTTTCTTTTCGCAAGCAGTTTTCATAAACGCTTTTATTATATCATATATAAATTGCTGTACTATAATAAAAAAAAAAAAAGACTGGGAAACATTATAATTCTAGGAAACCAAATTATCGAGTGTTCTAACCCTAGTACTAAGATTTCTGTATCAATTTATAAAAACAATTTATTTAGATGGCCATTGAAAAGAACTATGATGTCTGATAAAAGAACAATGTTTATGACAACTTTCGATTTTTATTATGAATGACCTATGAAACTATTCAATTATACATCTAAAATTTCATTTTTATTCATCTTTCATCTGATATCAAATTTACTGCTATTTCAATATGTAAAATCATAATTTTACCCTATCTGAAAAAAATATTATTACACACCTTTACGGTCTGTATGTATGTTTTTTTTTTTATTAAGAAGTTGTCATGGTTTACAACCTGTATAGGTATACATTTTTTGAGGAAAAGTATTTAATGATAAATATCAATAGTCACGAAAAAGAAAAAAAGAAAATTTCTTATTAAATATCGCTCTCTTTCTACTTTTCGTTCTTCTCTTCTTTCACTTTTCATTAATTGCAAATACGATTCTATAAATAGGTGAAATATTGAATGCGTGAAGCCAAACATATTGACGTTAAGATGCAATTTTTATTGTATCTTATTATATACATTATTACTTTTTCTTATACGACAACATCTGGTTTATCAACTAATTTTAATATTACTATAAAAATACCAGAAAATACAACATTACTTAGACAACTACCATATGTATATATATATATTGTTTAATGTGTTTATATTTTGAATTTAATTTTTCGTTTAGAAAGCAATACATGTTAAATATACATTGCCGAACAGTGATGATCAATGGAGCATAGGTAAAATTTTTACTTAATTGAATGTAATTCGTCCTCCCCCTTTGCAATAAAAGGTCACGGACCATCTTTTTTATCTCATTTATTTACATAATTTTTAATTAATATGGTTTTTCATAAAATCTAAGCGATTTTTTAAGATATGAGAAGAGATTTTTAAAAGAGAAATTATGATGGTCATCAAGTATACAAAGCAGTCAATAAATCTTTTTTTCTTTTCTTTTATGCATTCAATGCATCGATGTCTGAAACTAGCAGCCTTGAAATTTTAGCATCTTATACTCTTTCTTTCAAAAGTAAGTCAATATCGACTTTTTATTACTCTCATGCCATTATGATGATAACACAGAAAAAAATATCCTATAAAATTTGTGTTTGTTTTCATATTAATAAATCAAAGATAGAGAATCGAAAGTGAACAAAATGAGCTATTTCAATGTAATATAATGTTAACCAACTCAAGTTTTTGTAAGATCAACATAAATGAACAATGGTTCTTTTCGATGTTTATTTGATAAAAATCTATTTCCTGCCGAGATTCAGAATGAGGAAGTACCAAACACTATTTTATGTATGTTATACAACTTTTTATTCTGTAGAAAATAAATAAATAATACCTTCGAGTAGAAACAGGGCTCATATTTCTCTTGTACATAATTGTTTTTGATAATTTTTCCGTAGAAAAAAAATAATCATATTTAGCAGTTTTCATTGATACAACACAAGTGTAAAGCAAAACAAATACGACATTCGAAAGCAGTATCACAAACTACATTTAATCAAACACATTTTAGAGAAATTTTTATCCAGTGAAAAATTCACCTGAGATTTCCCATGAGTCAATATTGCGCAGGAAAATATTTCTCTAAAACAAAAAACCATTATGTAAAATTTACCTGGAAGTTTTGTCATTCCGAATCTCGACAAAAGATAGATTGTTATCAAACAGACATTTTAGATTCATCAAAAAAAGTCATTTTTCATTGGTTGAGTTGGTCAAAATTGTATTATGTTGAAATAGCTCATTTTTGTTCAGTTTTCGATTTTCTATCTTTTAGTATAATTTATAAAAAATGTGAATCATTCATTAAAACGAAAACAAACATAACTATTGCAGGGGATTTTTAGACGTTTTGTTAGCATAAGATATTCGATATTGAGTTACTTTTGAAGGAAAGAACATTGAATGCAGAAAAGAAAAAGAAAAACATTTTTTTTTTATCGAGCGCCTAACATAATCGATGGCTTCATGATTGCTATCTTAAGGGCCCCCCCTGCAACCCCCCCCCCCCCGCACACGCCCTCGGACGCGGCAGCCCGCCGCTGTGCCGCCCCGCCGGCCGACTGAGATGGGGCGCGGGGGGCGGTNCATTATACGAATACTATAACTGATTAAAAAATAAATGATATCTTTTGTTTTTAAATACATTATAGCAGCTGCATAATAAAAGAAGAATCATGGTATCTGATCACCCGGAATAATTATTGTGTAAAAAGTTTTCATTGTCCATTGAAAATTCAAAATAAATTTGATATATCTATTTCATTCAAAAAAAAATGTTTCTATCAAATTCTAAACAATTATTTGAATAGATATTTTGTTAAATAATCTTTTTAAATTTAATTTTATGCGTGTATGATTATTGATTTCGAGTAGTTCTATGATATACGAATAATTGCTGAAATTTAATTGATATTTTTATTTTTACTTTTATATTTTGTGTTTGCTTGAAATGAAACGACTTTATATTTATATATAGGTTGATTTTTGTTCTGCTCATAAATATTATATAAACTCTATGATAGTTTGGATATTTTATACTGATATCTTATTCTGATCAAAGTTCTTTTGTTTTTGTTGACGTCCAAAAAAATATGAAATGATTTTTTTTTATACTAGAGAATTGTTCTTTTTTTTTTCTTATGTTAAATCTTTTATTTACTCTATGCAAACATTTCCTTGGAGAAGAAATTGAATTAATTTTTTTTAAAATTGTGTTTTCGTTATGATTTCTAATAAATAAAAAACATTTCATATATATGTATAGCCCGGTTTTTTCGGTCCAATAAATATACAATCATAGAGGTTTTCATACAATTAAAGAACTAACCTATCAATATATGAAATCTTTTGTTTGACACTTTAATAAATTATATATTTGAGAGAAAAGAATAAAAAAATTGTATACAGGTACTATTCTACTAAGTCAGCATATGTGAATCATACATGCAGTATTTTTCTCTTTATTTTTTATTTAATAAAGTGACATTTTTAATTTACTTTGAGATTCTTGTACTTCCTCCGATAGATTTTCATCGACATTTTTATACGTCTTGATTAACATCCATATAATAGAAAAATATTGAAAAATAAAAGATATAAAATCAGAAAGATATTTTTAATATCGAAGTATATACAACCAAAAGAAAATATTTTCTTTGTGTCAATAAATGAATAAAAGATACGAATCACATTCGCTTCCTAGAGAAAAATATAGTCTCTCAGCAAATATTTCATATAAAATATTTAAAAAAAAGAGCAATTATATACCATATTAATTTTTTGAAATGCTTTGTCAATCTTACGAACTATCTTCAAATATTTATCAATAAATAGCTGCAAGATAAATGTGGTTAAATTACATGGTGATTGAGAATCTTACTTTACCATCACAATAAATAATAACCATTTTAAATATAAATTTTTGTTTTGATATACATTTACAAAATATAATTCTTGTTTATTTAAATATTTCTTTCTAAGAATAAAAAACAAAAAAGATAATGTGAAAATTTCATTTTCATTTTAAGAAAAAAAAAGTTTTTGTTTGTTAGTAACATTTTGACGACATATAGGACAATTGACCATGCTTGATGCACATATTTCACATGTCGCTACATGACCACATGGAATAAATGTTATATTTCGCAATCGCTCCAAACAAATAGTGCAAATCATATCTGAATTTGAATTTTGGATACGTTTTCCATTTTCGTAGATTCTCCTTTTCATAGACATTTGTGAAAAAGAATTTGCTTTATCCAAACACTTTGAACTACGATGTGTTGGTGCTTGTGGATTTTTATTAAGAACATGACAGAAGTGGCACATGATTGTCGACAATCGTGCCTTTGCGTTGATATTATGTTGTCAAAATATAAGGTGCAGAAAAAAAAATGGTGACTTTTGTTTTCTTTCTTATCGCTACTTAAGAAGCATTGGTAGTTTTTGCGGAAGAGAAAAAGATGACATATTGTCAGACGGTGGAACACATTTCTTTCTTGTAATTAAGGGCAGATGCACTTCTCGCTAGTGACATCTATATTTATTTTCTCCCAAAAGATAAATTGAAAAGATTCCAATTTATTCCATATTAGAACAAAATAAGGAACGAGAATAATATTTTCTTTTCGCTAGGTAGAATACGTTTTGTTAATTTGCATTAATGAGAAGGACAATCACCTAGAAACGGAAATAGCCATGCTACACTTATGAGTAAAGTCCTGATATTATACCTCGATACATACTTGAGTATTTGCTGATTTTTATGTGCTAACGTATAAAAATTATTTGACCGTTTAGGTATCACTAAAAACCTCTTTTTTCATTTATCAAATATCTATTTATTGTTTTGAAAATTAATTTCAAAATACAAAATTTAGAATAAGAGTGATGAGAAACAAGAAAAGTTTATGTAAAAATACAAACAAAATAACAATCAAGCAATAAAAAAAATGAAAAATTAAGAAAGAGTTCGACGCATCCATTTATTATGACCTTGATTTTCTTTCGAAATAATATGAATTACATTGATTTATTAGCATGATCACATTCTTAATATATAATAATTAATATACTCACTCAAGTGTTTCTTAGGTTTCAACAATGTTCAAATGAGAATCGACACCGACAAAAAAGCGATTGCAACCGAGCATATATATGTACATTAATGAATAGTGTTCAAGAAGGAAGAGAGAGTAAAGAAAACTAATAATAGAAATAGATAGGTGAAGTTATTACCAGATTCGAGTATTTTCATCTCGGATTCGTTCAGGAAGTTTTTCTAAATCTCCTATACTTCTTCCAAGTACAACTCGACGATTTCTATTCAACGATATGCTCAGATTTTTCATAATCCGAATTATAATTTTCAACTTTTGTATAGCGCTATCTATGCTCCCAAAAATCGTACTTTGGGCTCTAGAAAATCTGAGTACACCACTCGATAGAACTCGTCGAGTTGTACTTGGAACTAGAATAGAAGATTTGAAACAAGTTCCTAGACGAATCCGGGATGGAAATACTCGAATCTGGTGATAACTTCATTCTCGTAATAATAGAAATAATACATAGAGGACACTAAAATCGAAAAGTAATTTGCTTCTAAAATGGTTGCGTGAAATATCCTAGTAATCCAAGATAGTATATTCAAAAGTAAATCAAAATTGAGATCGTTTGATAAAAACTCATCCAATAAAATTCTTTGGTCGAAAAATTTAGTTAATGTGCATTATCAACTTTCAAAGCTGATATGGAAAGCATGAGTCATTCGTGTTTGACATTGCACGGAGAATAAATAAAGACGTATTATTTATTTTCACTGTATACGTCACCATATTCTTGCTATTAATTCAACGCTCATGTCGCGATAATTGGTTGAAAACTGCAGTTCATAGATGTTAAACTTGAAAGTTGAACTTAATTCAAATCTCAAACACATACACACATATATCTCTTTCAATGTGTATGCTACAGAAATATAGATGATTGAAAGTTGAAACCTGAATGAATTCTACTTGGGCATTATTGATTGTTTTCGCTTTATTTTAGATTTTGATTATTTATCAAAGATAGCATAAAAAAACAAATCATTAGTTAATTAAGGAGACTCAAAAGAACAAAAAGAATATAGCACCAATTGACATAGTATACTGTAGCATATTAGTTTTGAGTGGAAATCTACCTCTTCAAGACAGACAATATTAATTTAATACAACAAATGAAAACATATTTGATAGAAAAAAAAGAATAAGGTTAAACCACACGAACCGTCGGTTGTGATGAGAAGTTGACGACATAGGTTCGTCAGATTCATTATTTAACCTAGTTGCCATATAGACGCCATATTTACACATATATTTGTTTTGAAAAATGTTGGACGATTACAAACACCATCTAACCATTTTGATTTGTTTACTAGTAATGCAGCACACGAATGGTGGAATATCTTCTTTAATATTGGTTAAAAGTACACCATTCATTTTCTTTTGTAACTGCCTGTTCAACTTCTTTAGCATTGTTAAGTATAATTTCTTTTAACCAATTTCATTGTCATTTTGTTTTTAAACTTTTTCTCTAGTTTTCATTATTTACAGTTTCATTTGTAGTGGTCTTCTGGTCAGAAACAAAAACTAGAACTTCGATGATTTGCATCATTATTTTCATTTCCAAATAAAATTAGATATAATACTACATTAACGAATGATTAGTCTAACGCATCAACACTAAAACATGTCTTTTATTCTTCAAACGACAACTTTATATACTCTGAACGAACTAGGAAAAACCTAATGACATTTTGAGAAAAACATGACGAGAGGAAAAAATATCTAAACTACATGAATAGAAGAGAATGTTTGAAAAATACCTTAGAACGAAGCAAAAAAATAAAAGATATATATAAAGGGTGTTCCGAAAGTTCTGAAACGTTTTTGAAAATTCACTGTTTTCGCAATCTACAAAAGCAAATTCGTTGAAACTTTGGTAGATTGTTATACATATATAGTATTGCATAACTACAAAGTTTGAAGTCTATGGATTATACTATGGTTGAGAAACTTAACAACACTGATATGTACTATTTTTAAAAATTTTTCTAATCATCTTCGGGGTATGCAACATTTTTTTATTTCGTCTATATCTTGGGTTAGGTAAATGATAAAAACTTGAATTTTTCTTTTAAAAGATGCGCCGTGAAAAGCTCTACAAAAACTGCAATAACAAATCCCTATTGACTTGTATTAATGATTTCTGCCATACTCAAAATGAAAACCTACATGGAAAGTACTACTTCTCATCATATTGTGCATAATAAAAAAGGTTTGGCAGACTTTTTTGCTTTCTAATAGGAATTTGTTTATGTAGCTTTTGTAGAGCTTTCGACGGTGCATCTTTTAAAGAAAAATTCAAGATTTTATCATCTACGTAAGCCGAAATATAGATATTTTGGCAGGTCCAGAATACAGGAAAATTTTAAAAATAGTACATCATAGTGTTGTTACAGGTTCTCCTCTATAGTACAACCTATAGACCTCAAACTTTGTAGTTATATGACATTACATATGTGCAATAATATGCCAAAGTTTCAAAGAGTTTGCATTTGTTGAATACGAGAACGATGAATTTTAAAATCGTTTCAGAACTTCTGGAACACCGTTTATATATATGAATATTCTATTCTACGTAATTCGTTTGACTGATATGTCATCATGAGTCAATGTAGAGAACCAATCTTTTATTTACATCATATTGTTGTCATAAAAATAAAATGACTACTGATATAAATGGTATTCATTTAATGAGTAAATAAGTTTTTAAATGAGCAAACTGAATTAGTTACTGATACTTAAAGTTTAATATTGAAGGAAATATTCATGTACTGAGCAAGCATAATAATTACCAAATACTAAAATTTATACTGATAGTGTGATTTATTTATTGATAATTTGTATATAATACTGATTTGTTCCCTTTCAAATATTTATCGTAGTATTATTCATAACCTAGTGTGTATATTATCAATGGATGGCACTTGAATATAATATAACTGTTGTTGAATTATGTGAACTTTAAAATATGATTTCTTGATCATGACATTTTTAACAATTTTCTAAAATCTTAAAATCATCTTTGAAATATTTTTGTATGTAGGCAAAAAACTATGAAGAATAGACAAAGAAATTTTGATATCATTGATTTATTTTACAAATTCGTTTTCTTTATATTTTTAATTATGTAATGAATATTATAAAATGATTGGTCATGCATGACTAGCAATGAAAAAAAAATGCATGTTTAGCTATAACAAGTCATCCATTACTAAACAAAACATGATCAATGCTGAGGGTTAGCCTTAGGCCCCGAACAGACTGACTAATTCAAAGTGAATTAAAACTGAATTAACGAATAAATCGTCTCAAAAAGACGATTTAAATCGAAATAGATCAATCATGTTGCTTAATTTGTTTTTATTTTTGTCAGTCTGTTCGGGACCTTACTGTGCATTTTTTTTCTTTTCTAATGTAAACAATGAATTAAAACAGACAATACATATTTGACTATTGTCTTCTATTGTTTAAAGATTATTAGTTGATATACCTAGAAAAAGTTGTCATTATTTGTTTTTTTTTTCTCTTTTTGCATTTACAATGTTTCGTCTAGTTTCGTCTTTGTCTAGAAAAATCGATAATGTATTGTATTATATCCGTATAATTTTCAATTCCAAGCCAAAATATAGCAAAAAAAAGAAACAGTGCAATCATTGATAAATCTCTATGAATTGTAGTTTCCATTTGAATCGATTCAATTGTATAATCAGAAACCATTTCAATATTTGATTCATAATCGAAACCTCGAACATAGTTTTTAAAAATCTTTATCATATTCATCTTTATACATAAAAAAGAGCGCTTTTCGTAACAGTTATATATATATATATTTTTATTGTTGTTCTGAAAAAAAATGTTATTACAATAAATCAAAATGTCCTTTGTTTGAAATTCTTTGTTTATTCTAACGTTCATATTCATCTAAATTTTCATATTTAAGAATATTTGCTGGTCGTGTTGGTGGTTTAGATAAAATATCACCATGATCACGTACATGAAATTCCCAATTACGAATAGGTGCATGAACATTATCAAATGGATAATCAACTTCAAGAATTTTACTATCATGTTTTTTAACACGTATATGTGTTATAATTTTAACCCAACGACAATATGATTCAGGTAGATCTGGTTGAAAAATTTTTCTTGGAAAATATTTTTCATCTTTTGCCGGAATTGTCACATGAACATCTTCATTAAATGTATCTTCTTGTGGACGTCCATCATAGCGTACATCACATTCAATTGGATGATCTGTACGGTTAACAACAAAACATGAATAAACATGAGGTGGTGCACGAGGCATTTTAAATGGTGGTGGTGGTGCATCATCAGTATCATCAGCTGTTGCATTATCACGATTATTATTACTAATACTGATAACGCCATTTGTATTAGTAGTATAGCCGCCATCTACATTCGGTGTAGGAACACTGTTCATATTCACAGTATGACCATTTGCTAGACCGCTGACTATTGGTTCTGTTGATAGATGTTGATTACCAGTTTCACGATTAGTTTCAGATGACATTCTGTCCTATATGCGCAAGTAAAATAGTTTGTTACTTTGATTAATAAAAAAAAGAAATACTTGCCTTATTTGAGTTTCGTTAGAGAGAGAAAGTAAAGGACGACATTGATGCATATAAGTTTATATGAAGTTGAAAAACATGGTGTGCATTCATGCATTTCGATTTACAAAACGAAATTGCTCTTTTTTTTTATAGATTATATATATTTTCATATACTTTACATCTAAGAGATAATTGTGTGCACATTCATTTGTGATTGGTATAAAAAAAATATTAATATGAATAAATAACAAGTACTGAATAATTACATTCGATATTCCGCATAAATACTTTTACAAAGCAATGTCTTGCTCAGCTCCTAAGGACATTAATCTTATGTGTATCTGTCTGTTTCATCAATGATTGTACAACTTGATTGTCAATTAACAAAAAAAAAAAACTTAATTGGACACCGTCTCAACGTGATTTTTTTCTCCATGAAAATAACGGATGAATGGTGTAGGGTAATCAATGAAAGGTAAAAACAAATTAATCACAGTTAATTATACTATTATTAGGTTATTCTGGTTAGATTCTTCTTTTTTTCAAAAGTTTCGATGAATGTTTTAAAGACCAAATTTATTATTAGCTGAAAAAGAAAAAAAAATAGAGAAAAGTATTCACGACACTAAACTCAATGGCATAGTTACGTGATATATAGAATGTGTCTCTCTGTGCCTTGGTGCAGAGAAAATCCGAAAGCTAATCCTCTTCCTCACTCTCACCCTCGCTCACATGAACATTCACACTATCAGCATTACTTGGATATTGTTTTGTTATGTTCCATGCTACTATTGATATTCATTACGACTATTTCGAGCTAATGAGCTCATTTTAATCACATGTGATTAGAAACATTGAAATCGATGTATGAGACTATTTTTTCTGCTTTAGTTAACTCATTTCTTGATTAATTTGATGATCATTTCTCAGTTACACAATTTTGGTGATCAAAACTCAACATTTTTGGTGATCAAAACAAATTTCTCCCTTTTCTGAATAATATTAAACGATTGTATTTGGATTAATTAACGTTAGAATGTTTAAAGGACAAAAAATACCCAACAATAAACATAATTATCTATTCTTTTTTTCTCATTGTTTTTGTTTCGACATCCGTTCTTAAAGACAAAGCTTGATAAACAATACTTGTATTTATTATGTATCGTTTGCATCCATTTCAATCAATATAGACATATATATATATAAACCACTTTTTCTATAATAAGTTTTAACCAAAAAATAAAGCATAAACAATGTATCGTTCGATTCAAGACAATGCACAAAATCCGGATAATTCAGACAATTTAAATACAACAAAAATTCGTCGAACAATTATTGAACGCGGTACACGTACAGTGATGAATGATCGTGATCATGGAAATGCTCCATCAACAAATATTTCAGCTATAACAGCAAGAACTAGACAACATGAAGATGAGAAACATGAATTACGAGAATTGAATATGAAATTTACTATTTATTTAGATCATGTTCAACATTTGGAAAATTATAATGGACAATTATTAGCTGAATTAGAAACCTTAAAACAAGAATGGGGTAATGATACAAGTCAATTACATGAAACATATGGTCCAGATTTAAAATCACTTCGTAACGAAATTGGTAATTGTCTACGTGATCAAGTTTATCAAGAACTTCTATTAAAACAATATGAATATGATATGTGGCAAACACAACAACGTATAGATGCATTGGATGATAATACTTCATCTCGATTAAAGGCAACTCAACAAGAATTAAATCAATCAATTGATGCTTTAGAACAAATTAAAAATCAATATGATCGATATTCAGCAGATTTAGTTAAACAACGTACAAATGTAGACAATTTATCTAATCAATTGAATGGATTAACAACTGAATTAGTTAATCATCGATTAGAACGTATTATGATTGAAAATGAAATACAAACATTACAAGAACAAGCTGCATTTGAAGATTCAGCTTATCAAGTACAACGAGAAGAAATCTTATTACTTGGTTGGTTCTCTTGTTAGTATAAATTTTTTCATTTCATTTCATTTTCTTTTAGGTAAACCGGCTCTTGATACATCAAAATTTTATCATACCGAATTAATTCGTGCTATATCTGACATTCGAAATGATTTTCAAGATCTTGCAATTACTCAAGCCAAGAACTTAGAAGAGTATTATCGTATAAAAATGGAACAAATTCAAGAAATTGCTCAAGAAAATGAACGTAAACGTTTCTTAGCTATCGAAAAAGACACAATACAACAATCATTGAATTCAAATTCATTGATAGAAATTGAAGACGTTTATAAAGAGTTAAAAATAGAAAATAATCTATTACAAAAAGAATTCGATGATCTATTAGATGATTTAACAAGAATTCAAAATGAAAATATACGTGAACAACAAAAACTTGATATACATTTAAATCAACTTCGAGAAGACATAGCTAATAAACAAACAAATACGGAGACTATTTTAGATAATAATGTTTCACTTCGTTTTGAATTATCAACATATCGATCTTTATTAAATTCTGAAGAACAACGTTTGCATAGATTAAAACAAGAAAAACAATCGAAAACTTCATCAACATCATCATCAACAGTAAAACATAAAAATCCAGACAATGTTAATCAAAACCCTAATAATAATACGACGCAAAAATTGTCTACTCAAACATCAGCAACAGGTTAATAAGAGAATAACATAGTTAGATTTTCTAATATATCATACAACTTTTTTCTCCATAGGTTCAATTCTAATTGATTCGGTTGATCTCATCAATGATTGTATTATAATAAAATGTGAAAAATCTACTAGTAACGAACAATCATTAGGAAATTGGATAATTCGTCGTCAAAATGATCGACAACCAGTGATAGTTTATCGATTTCCTTCTTCGTTTATTATAAAACCAGGACAAATAATTCGAATACTATCAAAACGTAGTCCACAATCAGCAACAAGCTCAGATAGGGACGTACTGGTGGCTGATCAAATTAATACATGGGGATCTGGTCAAGTTATGCTCACAAGTTTAATTGATAATTATAATGAAGAAAGGGCCACTATAAAACATACCTTTCTTCCAACATAAATCAAGCATTATTCTACAGACTATAAAAAGAAATATGTTTTTTTTTTAATAATTATTAGGGATTGTAGAAATTATTTATATTTTATTTTTCTAGTTCTTGAATAAATAATTACATGTAGAAAATATAATTATCATATGATACTATAAACATGAGGTCCTTGTTAATTTTTATTATATGTTCGAAAACTTCTTTCAACACATATATGAAAAGAAAAACAAGGTTCTTTTATTTTTTTCGTTCACTATTATATTATTATTATTTACTGCTAGTTCAATCAGGGCTGAATCTAAACAAGTATTGCCATACAACTGTACATGGCAATATATAGAAATACTCGCATAGACAATTTTCTTGGTCATTGTTCAAGTACAAACTTATTTCTTTATCTTTGTTGTTGTTATCATGTTTCTCTAATGGTAGAAATAATTCGATTTTGAAAAATTGATAATGATTATCCAATAACATATAAATGTTGTCACTTATTATGCTTGTGTCAGTTTCGATTTCGATGTGCTGAAAGTCAATCTATGAAGAACGACTATTTCATTCTTTCGATAAGAATACCTGTTTCTTTATTATTGTTGAATAAAGCTAATTAATTGAAGTATTATTGATTCTAGTAGAGTGTCTTACAAAGGTTCAATCAGACCGACTTGTTAAATACTTCCGTGTCTGCTTGTATATGAAAGCCTTTGTATTCTTTTTTCATAACAATGTCATGATAATGCTGGAACAGAATTGAATATTAACGTTCATAAAAATCCCAACAACTCATTGAAATTAATTTAGATGACAACAGCAAAAGTTTTCTAATGTGAAAATCCAATGTAATATTTTAAAGTATTCACTATAAAGAGGTTTTTCCTTCTTATGTATCTGCGAGAGTATGTAAGAATGGGATTAGAAAAAAAAAATGTTCACTTTAAGGAAACCTTCACGCAGAAGTGATCGATTTCGAGCAAGAATTAGGAATTTAGAGTATTAAATATAATGAGATATTCACATGATATAGGCATTTATAACGAAAGACTTTTTAATGTAGATTAAACATTTATGAATTGAACAGTGATGTTACATAGACAAGTAAAGAAATGAATACAGTAATATTGAGGAAAAAAAATTAGTTTATGTTCAAGAGCATTTTGAATGAATTCAACAAACAAAAATGTTGCTCATAGTATTACTATCAATTAACCGAGATTAGAAAACAAACGCCTAAGTAAGTAATGATATACATGTATATTTGTGTTGATTATCTCTTCAAGTTGATAATGGATTTGGTTTGTTTAGAATTATGCTCAATGTTCATTCTGAAATATTTACGGCTAACTCATAATATTCAAATATCATTTTTGGAAATTAACTCAATTGCACTTCGATATAAAAGAATCAAATACAAAGATCGGATCCCTTGTGTAATCTGGTTGATGCTCTGGCGTATAACTAAAATTCGATCACGAGTTGGTATCTATTTTTAAAAATAATCCATAAATTCTCTCCATAATGACCGTTCAACTAGTTTTTAATTGTCAAGCTAGAGTAAACATTGTTCAACTTAAATAGCAGCAGAGCTCTATAATGCTCCAACAAGTACTATTCAAGCACATCGTCCAGATTGATCTGTGAAAAGTAGAGTAGGTAGTCCATCATAATTGAATAATGCCAAAGAATCTTATTTTGTAGCTTTCCTTGAATTCTTTCTCGATAATAGTTTTTAAGTTTCTTGTGAAATTGCTTTGAAATTAGCTAGTGATTATTCAAAGTCATAGGATTTATCTGATATTTCTGGTGAAAAATGGTTTCAATCATTTGTTGATCGTCTTACTGATGATATTAAATTGACAAAACAGAGTAAACTTGAACAAACACATGAGAAAAGCGTTTACTACGAACGTTCGTTCGAGTTGATGATAACATTGGAAGATATGATTTTCTTGGTAAACGGTCAATCTTTCAATTTAGATGAAATAGTCTTTTAGATTAAACAAAAAATTGATGCACTTGAATTTCAGAACTGAACAAGTCAGAAGCTTCTCAAGTCACAAGTCAGACTTGACTTGCCCAGCGCTGACTTGAATAATTTGAAACTGATCAGTTTTCGTTTTCATAAATGAACAGATCATAATTAACAAATATCTTTTCTTTTATTTCCTTTTTTCTTTCAACTACATTAAAATAAAAGCGAATGTTCTTTGTACTCAATACCAATGAATTAGCACATGAAGTAGAAGTTATACTATTCGTACTTTGTATGTAGATAGTCTTTCATTTCTACTATATCTTGTGTATTAGCAACAACTATGAATTTCATTCCGTAGATAACGTGAACATCTTTTTCTTCCGATCATTCATCGAAATTTTATATTTTACACTAGGCGATTGAATTAAGATCAGTCTCTTTATCCGATTAGAAACATTATTCGAATGTAGTCAAAAATATATATAATGAAGATTACAATATAAAATCCTTTAAAAATATATAGAACTGGAGTTTATGACATAAGGAATCGGATGGTGTTTTTTGTTTTGTGATTAAAGACAATATTTTTGTAAAAACAACTTTTTTCGAAAGCTTCCTTGCAAATTAGTTCGAATTAGAGAAAGAAACAGTAAGACATTAATTTTCAATAAAAACTATATGAGCACGTAGAGCAATGTTTATTGTAATCCAAAAACTAAAAACTATCTCGAATGAATATTGTGGAAAGAAGCCATAAATTACTTTCTAAAAAAATAAAGATTCGTGATCGAATTTTTGGTTCGGTGCTCCATATCTTGATTGGTTAAAAAAAATAGGCGGGTTTTAAAATAATCCCGTACATTGCTGAAATACTGTCGTAAATTCATAATGAATATCATAGTTAACAAACACTTTGAGTGAGATGTTTGTTTGTTAAGAATCACATGACTTTATGTGTTTGTTCTATGTTTAGAAACTTCCTTGAATAATATCAAAATCCCTTCAATATCATTCGAGCGCCATCTAGAGAGCATTTATCTATGGTAGCGGATATCACTAATCATATGTGAACCGGGTATTATCATTAGCATCACTGGTGGAATCTTTGTAGAATTTAAATAATTTCTCTTTATTTCATAAGAAAAAACACGTTGAAATACTACTGGTAAGAAAGATATGTTTAAATACTTGAACGTTTTTTCATTCATCGCTTCTACACTTTGTTCTAGTAAACTGTTCTTATTTTCTTCTCTAATCATGTCTGTATATACAACGGATGTAAGTATAAACATATCAATTTATATCAATAATATTCTTGTGTTAGCACGATGAAGATAATCCATTTGATAATCCTCCATCAGATGAAGAAAATGAAAGTGAATTAGTTGAACTGCAAGCTGAGGATTTTGCTGATTATGTTCAACGTTTGGATACAGTACAAAATGAACAATTACAAAAAGAAGAACAAAAAATTATTCAATTGTGGAAAGCACGAAATAGTGTATTATCTCAATTAGAGTCTACAAAACAACCAATATCATTACAAACTAACGATAATATATCAATATCAGAAGTTGAATCTCATTATGATGATAATGAATCAATTATATCACAACAAACAAATTATTCAAAAGTAAAATTTAAATCATACATATATCTAAGATTTTCATAACTATGATTTTTCTATCTTTTTTAAGTGTTCAGAAAAAGATCAATCAAAAAGTTCATCTTTTAGTTTTTCAACACGTTTACGTAATAAACAATCATGTATAATATCACCGCTACCACCACCAACATCATCATTTGTTAATCGAAATATTAATAATCGAAATGGATATGCATCATCTGTTACATCTAATGATCAATATGATGATCGAAGTTCTGGAGTAGGTAGTTTAACATTAAGTCCAGTTCCAAGTCCTGTTGTAAGTACGAATTTGTGTTAATTTTTTTTTTTTTGTCTCTTTTGAAAAATAAAACCAACAAAAAACAATCGATTGTATTTTAAGATGTGGCGTTCAGAAAAAGTTCTTGGTCGAGGTTCATGTTCATCATCAATTGATTATGATCATATAAATATTGGAGAAGCACGTCTTGTTAAACCATATAATCGTACTAATACTTGCTCAGAAAGTGATATATTTAAAGATGTTAATAAGTCAAAGGAGAATGGATTTTTTGCAAATATTCGTGCACGTATGGAAGCAACAGCAGCATCTACGAATTCAAGTGATACTCCAATAAGTTTTGATGATCAATATATAAATGTACCATTATTATCAAATGCAAAAAAAAGTCATTTTGATTATGATGAAGTTAGTTTTCATTTTGGGATATTTTAAAATTTTTTAAACATTTATTTTAATAGGAATTTGATTATCATCAAACATATATTTTACCAAAATTAATTCAAGAAGAAAAAGAAAGACGAACACAAGAAACAACAATTGATTTTTCATTTAAAATTGGTTTAGATGAACCAATAAGTAATACAGATATGGATGGAACTGTTATTGAAGATGAACCATATTTATCAATTATTGTTGATAATAATAATAATGGTTTAAAACGTGTTTGTTCAATATTTGATCAACATCAACTTATTTGTATGTTAAAATTAATTTTTAATTTTTCAAATCATATTTTATTTGTTTTTTTTAATATAGATAATCGAGAAAATATTTTACATGATCAATGGTATTACGGTCTTATATCATATACATTTCTTCTTAAACAATCAGTTAAAATGGTTAATTCATCAGTTATGAAATTATTACAACAACAATTAAAACATAGTGATACATTCTGGCTTTCAAATGGTTTAAAAAAACGACCAATATTTAATGATTCTTTTTTTAATATTGGTAATAATAAATATTTTTTACATAGATAAGATTCTTTTCTGTTCAATGAGGAAAGTTTTCCAATTGAAAAAACACTTTTGAGTTAAGACTATAGGTATTATGTAGAACCAAATGATTTAGGAATACCTTGAAAAGATTTCATGTTCTTAGCTTATTGCTGTAGAGATATTGCACTTTTACGATAATTTTTGAACGAATGTCTTTGGTGATAGAAAAACTAATTTCCGTTGTTTCTATTCTAAGATACAGTCTTGGCAATAACATAGTTTTTACACATCACTCATATGTACCTGAAGATTCGATGTGCTTATTTTCCGATAGAAGCAAATCAAAAGACTTGAATGTTTCACAATTACCTAATCTCTTTAAGATCCATTTCTAGGCAAAGTTTCAATTCAAAATTCAAAAATAAGTTTCCCTGTTACTATGGCAGTCATTTAAAAAAATACCGTAAAAGTGCAATAACTCCGCAGCAATATACTAACGAAACGAACTCTTTTTAGGATAGACATAGATTATTTGGAATTATGTTGGAGAACTTTCCTTGAAAGACAAGTGTAATGAAATTTTGATAATATACCGCTACGATATATAAAGTTACGAAAACCTTACTATAAGAACCAATTTTTTTTCGTATCCTAAAGATGATTTCATAATTCGAGGACATGTTCAACTTTCAAAAGTTGTTTTCTTGAATAATTCTGTATTTTTTTTTTCTAGCTTGGTACAAATATAATAACACGGCAGTGTGCGTTTAAGTACTCTTTCTCACGATACACATCGAAGTTTTAAGCGTGATATACCCGAAAATTCAAATTCTTGAACATCAGTCTGATGCACTAATCACCTCTCTTAAAATTAAAATAAAGCTGAGTTATACTGACTCATTTTTTTCATTGACTTATACAAATTTTTCTAAGAGGTTTAAAACTGCTGATACAAACCTTTTATTTTAACAAAGATTAAAAAAACAAATAGTAAATTTATATGAAAGGCATCAATACAACATTTTGCTGACTTAATCTAATTGTAGAGGATTTGAAGTGCTACAAGATTATTGTCTATTTTTTTCTATTAGTAAAAAGCTCCAACGACACGACCTAAATACTCTTTGGTATTGGTAAATTTTCAACATATTGGAATCTTGCAGTATTATTTACCTAATTTTTCCACTTAAGAATAAAGCTTGACGATGAACTATCATCGTGATATTGATAATGAGATCAAGATTGTTTATAGAATATATAAAGTTAGTAAACCTATCTTTATATTACTGGTCAGTGATTTTGAATATGTTACAGTAAAATATCCATATTTGTTGAATAAAACTTTGTTTTCTGAGTATAATTTTGCATACCATGACTAATATATTATAAAAGTCTTCATAAAATCGTTTTTTTTCAGGATCATCCATGAGCAATTAAAGTATATTTTATCTAATACAAAACTTTATTTAGCTTTTGCTTCTACTATATATTTTTATCCTTAAATCTTTCCTATAAAATCAATTTGAAAAAAGAATGTTCTTATTTTATTTAGATGAAACATCGTCAATGCCATCCAATGGTATCAAATCTACATCTACTGTAAATTGCCAAACAACAGGAGCTCTTGTTGAAACTGAATCATCTGATATTGCAGCAACACGTTTGAATAAATATCGTCAATTAGCTCGGTGTTTTTTTTATATTAATTGTCAAATGGAGTGGGCATCAGGTGCATTAATAGCCATGAATTTATTTTCAGCATATGAAAAATTATCTAAACAACCACATGAAAAATGGGAATTACGTTTTCGTGAAGATTTTGTTGATTTTATTTATCAACCAAAAGGAAAAGCAAATCAAAATTGTGAATATATTAAACGATTGCAAGCAAATTTTATTGACAAAAGTGTTATTATAACAACAAATAGTGATGGTTTTGTTCTATATATTCAAATGAAAGGCAATATTATTGAATTAATTAGTGAGTTACTATTATTTCATAAGTTTTATTTGAGATGGTTAATCATAGTTGTTTCAATAGAGACTCCTATTGAGATTACATGTAGAAATTAGATGAGAAATATGAATTTAATTTCAAACATATTGTTTAATCTTCAACAGACGTTTTTTTATTAAAATATCGAAAATTTCTATTATTAGAATAACATTTTATGGCATGAGAAAATTCTTCGTGATGAATGAAAACCAAAGTATTTTAAAAGAGATTTGTAGAACTTTCTGTGAGATTAAAATTAAGTAAACATAAAAGTTGTTTTCTTATGATAGAATAAGAGAGCCATTATTATGAAAATTGTAACTCACAAGGAAACTTCATCAAATAATAAATTGTTTTTGAGATGAATAATACCTCATTAGGTAGGTTCTATTAGGATAAGAAAAAGTTCAAAACGATTCGTAATTATTAGTCTTCCTTTTTTAATTATGATTGTACTGTTTCTTAGATTACATTGCGAATCAAGCCTTGATTTCAAATTTTGCATAAGCAAAGTTTTCAGCATGACTAATTCATTCTGAAGGAATTAGATTTTGTCGTAGCTTCCTATTCTTACATATCTTTTATTGAAAGTTCTTTTATATACATAAACTATGGTGCTAAAGTCTCGACACAAAAAATATTCGTTCATTTTCCAAACATTAAAAGGCAACTGATTAGAACCAGAAGCAATTTGTTACAATTAAAATGTTTCGTTATTTCCAAATATATGTTCGAATTTCTCTTCTAGGATAAGATTGAACAAATATCAGTAAATTTTGTAAAAACAAGTCCAAAAACTATGTCTGTAGAAGGTGAAATAGCAATTGTACCACAGCTTTTACTTTGTATCTTTGAACAGTTTGAACTCAACATTACTGAATTTTCTGCAAAATTATATTTTACAATAAGTGAAATCTCATCTATACGTTACCATTAAAGAGCTAATTTCTATGGGAATCTGTATCGGGCAAAGAAATTACTGTTTAAAAAGATATTTTTAAAAATTTGTCATGCAAAACTAAATAACGCGCTTTGTTGAGCAAACTTTAATTTTGATAGATTTCATTCGAAATACAAAATAGATTAAAATAGTATTCTGTACAGCCACCACTATTTTAGATCTTTTGCAAAAATGTGATGATAATTGTTCAATCTTACTTCAGAAGAACATTCTAAATACACACTCGAAAAAGTGAAAAAAACTTGATTCTAACCAGTTGTCTTTTAAGTTGCCGAAAAATGAGTGAATATTTCGTGGCTTGTTGAGAACTTTGTTCATGCAATATTTGATGGATGCACGGTATTATAATAATCATAAATAAAGAAGAAAGACCCGTAGTTCATGAAAGTTTTCAGATTTTCTCTCCTCTCAATAGAACTTAACTATATTCTCTTGTTAGCCAAAATGAATCTATTAAAACGAAAGAATTATTTATTATACGTCAGGGTCATAACTTCATACAAATCTAGCACTTTGAAGTTTATTCAGTCTAGATTAAGCTTATACTTTACATCAATAATTTAACAAAAAACTATAAAACTTTATTTTACATTGAAATATTTGTGATTAAGTAACAATCTCGAAAGAAAAATATCCGAACTTATTCAAACGTCGAAACAATATAAAATATTATTTAGTTGGTAACAAGAAATTCAATATATGTATTTCATTTATACCATTAATGTTCATAAGAAAAAAAATTTTTTTTTTACGAAAAGCAAACTTGATCAACAGGACGAATCTTAACGAACAAATTCATTCGAGTCATGCATATATTTCTTATCGATCTTTTTGCTTTGGTCATTCCAATAAGAAATGGCAAACCGAAAATCAGATCTGATGACAGTGTCATTATATCGACCATGAAGAGCATTGAATACAATTTTATCTGAACGTTGTCTATGTATTATTTTTGGTTATTAATGTATCAGCAGACCATTGACTGACAACTGTCTAAATTCGTTTGTCTTCTGCTTGCAAGAATTTTATAGAATACCACAACAGAATGCTGTCGGATAGTCCTGCCTCACAGAACTCTACACTATATATTAGGGAATGATGGTACTGAATATAACAGTTCTTTTTTGCAGTGATAGATTGCCACTGTGGATTCTCTCTTCATTTATATCTACCCACATTCATCAGTATATATTTCGTCATGAGTTGAGTAAATCGATTTCTTTAACCTAGTAGAAAAATCTAATGCTTTAAAGTATACAAAAAAAGAAGAATTTTTATTTCTTATCTTTAAAAAAAAAACTTAGATCATGAACCATGGTGGGTAGCACGAAAACATCGTGAGCAAAATAAACCTGTAATGTCACCACGTCAAGCTATTCAACGTCAAGCAAATGGTGATAAGCCTCTTCCATTTTGTTCAACTATTCGTGTATCTATAAAAGTTTCACGAGTAAAAGATAGTTCACAAAGAAAAAATGATCGTCGATATAAAAATCAAACTATTGATGAATATGAATTTCTTATGGATCGTATACTTATTAATAATATTCGTGTAGCATTTCGTGAATTTCTTGCTTTTTTCTATCGTCATCGTATACAAATATGTTTTGCTGGTTCAATAACTGATTTATCATTTAAATTATCATCATGTCGTATTGAACAACCTATATTTAATACATTTATAAAAAATTATTCATGGCAAATGTTAATATCACTTGGATATCGTTTTCAACAACAAGTTACACAAAAATTTATTGATTATTTTAAAACAATTGAAACAGATGATGAATTTTATCAAGTAACAAAAAAAAAAAAAGAAGAATTTAACATTGTTATTTATTTATAATGATCTTATTTTTAGATAGCACTTTATATTTGGCGTCGAGCTAAAGAATATCATTTTGTTAATACATATGAAGAACTTATGAAATATTCTGAACGTCAAAAAGAAAATGGTCAAGAAAAACGAGCATCATCATCACATGTTTCTTTATTGATGAATCAATCTCGAAATAGGGCTCATACACCATCAGTAACTATAACACCAACAACTATTTGTGTTAAACCATTCAAATTAGCTAAAACAAATCGAGTTATACGTGAACCAAAATTTGGTTGTGTTTTCAACTTTTGTTTAGGTTAGTTTTATTAGAAATATATATATATATATCTATAAAATTTAAATCGATATTATATACAAAAAGTATTATTAATCTTTTCTTTGCATTTTTTTTGAATAGATTACATTTTCTATGATCTTCTATTAGAAAATTTATAAGTATCACGAAACGATATTAATTAAAGCATCACTATAAAACACATTTTTTTGTTTTTTGTGATATTTATATTTTTTTTAAGGGAAGCTCATAGGAAATACGGCACCCTTTCAATTTATTTAAAATTTTATGCTCTTTAATTCAGTATAGAATGAATTTGATAAATAACGTGATTGGATATTCGAACCACTATTTTAATTTGAGTTAAATGCTTGATGTCGTAGAAAAATTAATCAAAAGTACGTTATTCTGATGCTTTCGACTAGTATTATCTTAGTCAAGAAAAGTAGCCGAAATAATGTTTTCTTTAATAAAATAACATTCTATTAAGTCATTAAAGTTTATGAAGAACAGCGTGAATCTAATGAACTTTATTCATCCGAATCAGAACAATATTTTCCGACTTAGTTCACCGAATTCTATCGTATGTTTGTTTATTCTTCTATAAAATTTTAGTTGAAGTAAGAGAAGAAACAGGTGAACAATTACAAGCAAATTATTTTGGTACTCTACGTTCAAAATTTGATGATTATCTTAAATATGGTTTTCAATTAACAAATGATCGAGTTTATCGACATCTTCATCATTCACAGTCACAATTAAAAGATAAACAATATTGGTTTTATTGGCATGATGAAATAAATAAAACCAATTTATCATTTGATGAAGCTTATAAATGGATGGGAGATTTTGGAAATGAACGTGTTGTTGCTAAACAATCAGCACGTATAGCTCAATGTTTTACAAGTTCCGAAGCAACAATACGAGTAAGTTATTTTAATTTAATTTCTTTATATTAACAAAAAAAAACAATACAACATTTATCTTTTATTAAGGTTCCACAGGAAAAAACAGAAATAATTGATGATATTGAAAGAAATGGTTATATATTTACTGATGGTGTTGGAACATTTTCATCAAGACTTCGAGATGAAATTTGTTATAAAATGGGTTTTCGACGTAAATTTAGTGTTATGCAAATTCGTTATGGAGGTTGTAAAGGAACTGTATCAGTTAATCCTGATTTAGATTATACTGAAAAACAATTAATTTTAAGAAAATCTATGCATAAATTTATTTCAACACATGATACACTTGAATTATGCAAGGTATCAGCACCACGTATGTACTGATTAAAAACTTTAAACTACTAGAATAGATTCAATAAGATGTTAATTTATTTGTTTGAATATAGATTTTTAAATTGTATTCATTAGGGTTTTATTGAACAATATCTTAAATCAAATCATAAAGGATTTGTTTAACATAATTGTGATTCATTAATTAGAATTCATTATATAATATGATGTAGAAAAAAATTACCATTAAAAATTTTCAAAATTTCTCCTATTTAAAACAATGAATATTGATACTTTTTTAATTGGTAGATTACTCTGGCAGTATAGTCTATAACTACAGAAATGAATAAAATATTCTCCCTCTTTTCAATTTAACAAGAACGAAAAAGCTAGATGTTCTTGTATGCAGTCAAAAAGTTTAGAGTTTAGATACTAATTCTATCTCGTTTTTGGTTGCGGAATCTCTTCAATTCATCGAGATTTGAGAGTCTTCTCCTATAGACAAGATACTCGACCATCGGCTACAACTTTTTAACTAATCTGAAGTCTGTGCCATTAAATGATCAAGTGATAGTGTCGTTTAGAAGTGCTTCAAAAACTTGCTTTGGTAGTCCTGATGCTTCACAGTCCTTCGATCTGAGGCTTCAGAAAGTTTACATCAGTTGATACGGGCAGTTTTGAATAGCATTACAATAATTATTACTCCAGTAGTGTAAGTTGATCGACGGTTAGTATTGGAATAATGCACCATTTTTATGAAACTTAACAACACTTTTGGGAGTGTGTGAATCTTACTGGATGTACAGAATTACTACTTTGTAATGTTTTGAAAATTATTCTAAGATGATCGCTCGAGAAATTTAAAGAATAGGCCTTAACGAAATTTGTGTGTCGAACAGTAATTTTTTTCTGCACTCTACTATATATATATAACATTAAGGATTCTTCATTCAGTCTCTGAAATCAATCAGAGTCATAGATAATTTTTCTTAGTTATGTTTTCTTAATAAATTATCAGACTATTTCGATTTTTCTTTCTTTACTATTGTTGAGAGGAAACGATTGTTTTTAGCACACCTTTAACAGAAACATCATTAGATAAGAATTTAAGTTTTATCTCGAGAATCTAGAAAATAATGATCTTCTCGAGTTGTTATGTCTGCTAAAGAGAGAACCTCTTCAGTTGCCATCTTTCGATTTCAATGTATTTTAGCTTATAGATACAATATAGTGTTCTACTAAAAGCTCTAAAACAATTTCATTTCCTGTTGATATTCGACTAGACTATCGACTTTTGATCTAAAACTTTGTGTATACAGAGAACTCTATTAGGACTAGCTTCTATAAAAAAAATTCAGAAGTTTTGAACAAAGTCTCTTCGAGATATAAAGCTTTCAAAAAATGTATAATGTATAAACTGTTCATGAAAAAGTGGTCTATATCTTGAAAGTCTCATATTTCGAACGCACTTTGTTTAAAACTTCTAACTTTCGTCATGAAAGCTAGTCTAGTTGAATTCTCTATTTGCACAAAGTTTCGTATCAAAATTCGAAAACCCGGAAACTCTTTCTAAAAAATACACATGTTAAAAATTAGATACCTTAGTTTATTCTCAATAGATTTTTAAAAGGTTTTTATTAGAATATTATATAGTATCTATAGGCAAAAAAAAACAACATTGAAATCGAAAGGGACCAATTGAAGAGATTCTCTCGTAAATCTTTTACGAAACCCTCTATAAAGATTTTGTATTAATCTTGAATTTGAAAAAAAAAACATTACAAAATATATCTAGCAAATATATTTATCGCGATTTATAAATATAAAAATTATATTAAAAATCTAGGTCCTATTCATCTAAATCGTCAAGTTATAGCATTACTTGAATCTCGTCATATTCCACATTCAACATTTCTTCTTCTACAAAATCAACATTTATTATCACTTGTTGAATCATTACTTTATTTACCATCAACATATGAATTACTTCATGAACATCTTCTACCACATCTCCAATTACGTGATCTTATACTTACGGCACAAATTGATCTTATTCACGAACCATTTTTTCGTCAATTAATTACAACTATGTGTAAACATGAAATCAAACGTATTCAAGTAATATGATAGATTAAAATTTGATCATTGGACGATAAAGAAAAATATATTAATATTTACTTTAGGATAAAACACGTATACAAATTTCACAAAATTCAGGCCGAAATATGTTTGGTATTGTTGATGAAACTGCTACACTTCAATATGGTCAAGTATTTTGTCAATATACAGTATTAGGTACTGAACGATTAGATGATTTAACTGGACGTAATGGTACTCGTGGTTATAATCAAGAAGAAATAAAAAAAGTTGTTGTTGGTAAAATAGTTGTGACAAAAAATCCATGTCATCATCCGGGTGATTTAAGAACATTCGAAGCTGTTGATGTGCCAAAATTAAGACATCTTGTTGATTGTATAGTCTTTCCTCAACTAGGTGAACGACCACATCCAAATGAAATATCAGGATCTGATTTAGATGGTAATATTATATTCGTTGTTTTTTTTTCTCTGCGCTTTATGTATTTATTTTCTTAATAATATATCGAATATTTAAACTGCATGTTCGCTTCCCACTCTGTCAAAAAATATGATTTTCGTAGGAGAATTTTTTTACAAAAAATTGTTAAAACTTCAGCAGAAGATTAGACATATTGTTGAAATTCAGGTGGCAAACGGAATGTAAGGCACAAAGTGAAGGAATTTTTATTTCATATATCTTTTTCTTACACGTCTTTATCAGCGAAAAAACATTTCATTTCTGAAGCAAAGATTTGCATTGCGTTTTTTTTTCTGTTTTTATTTCTAAAGTCGTTTTCAATACTAGAAAGTTTGGAAAACGTTTTAAGAATGAATGAACCGACAATTATCCGATATAACTTATCAAAGACGAATTTTGTTCTGAGTTTAATATTCAACAACAATGAATTCTGTTCGAATATACGGATTTGTTAAATTGCAGTAGCACATCGTGGTTAATTGTTGATACTAACTGGAAATGTGTGCCACTAGATTTGTAGGATAAAACTTTGCCGAAATGGATGACTGCTTAGAACGGGACCATACATTTCTTGAAAGTCTCTGCTAGCTCATTTGTTCTCGTACTAAGTCAGGTTTTTAATAGAGAGGGAAAATGGTTGTACATAGTTCTTTTGACTTTATGGATAAATGTTAAAGAATAGTTTGGATTTCAGTTTTCTTTTTCTATGAAATAGATGTATAATTTGCTATTCATCGATTGATGATCAATGAATCAAAGAGTTGCTGTCTATGGAAGTACTCAGTTTATTTTAATAGAAAATACTGGTGAATAGCTTTCGCTAAATGATCGATATTCTTGAATTTTATGAGTATAAAACTGTTATACATCGAATAATAAATAAATATTATTTAATTGAACACCAACTATTTACAATTGAGTCGAAGAGTTTGATTTTTTGAAACATTCTTAACAGTAGTTTCATAGAATTTATGCTGTTATCTCTCGAAAGATAAAACTATTTTTCTGTGTGAATACATGATTCTTAATATTGCCACTTTAATTATATATTGTATTTGTTCAGAGAAATGAATTTTCAAAAAATCATATTTTGTGTATGTTATCATTATACTATCTAAGATACGTACAAATATTGATGTATTATATAAGAGTTTCAGACGTTTTGATTTGCTTTGATCCTGAAATAAGAATATCAAATCTGCCGGTTTATATAAGTGATGTGAAAGACATGTTATTACCAAAATTATATCTTAGGATAGGAAGAACGACAAGATTTGAAGCATTTGCAACAAACTATTCTCGTTAGGACTTATCTCTCTATACAAAGTTTCAAGTTGAAATTCGAAAATCAGTTTTTCTGGTGCTCCTAAGGGGAGCCACGTCATTTATTTAAACAGTTCCGTAAAAGTGTAGCATCTCGAAAGCAATAGACAAATGACATGAGATCTTTTCAGAGTATTCATAATTCATTTGGTTCTACATACTGCACATAATCTTGCCTTGAAAACAATTTATTAGTTGGTGGATTTGTTTCACCAGTTCATTTTTTTTATCGTTCTATTTATTCTACATTTAATATTGTTATTGCAAGAAACAGAAAATTTACATTTAGCAACGAATAATTAACTTATTGTTAGCAAAGTATAACAGTCAGATAATTAATCGATTCGAGCACGAATTTCACATTGATTCTAAATCCCGACTCATTTGGGTATAACATGTATAAAGAAAATCTTTTGCAAAGCATTATCAAAAATATCTTATTAAGAGTAACCTCACGTGACGTGAATATTTCATTACCATTGAATGGTTTGATCAACCACTCTGCATGATATATAACGTTAATTATATAGTAGTTGTACCGAATTACAAAATGTTCGATCTATCAACAGAGAAAATTAATCGAAAAACTAAAGAAAAAATTCTTTCTTTTATAATTTCGAATTTCTTCTAGGTGATGAATATGCTGTTTATTGGCATCCTGATTTAATTCCAACAACAGACAATTTTCCACCATATGAATATGATTCACAAGAAAAACCACAAAAACTTGATCGACCCGTAACACGTGATGATATTCGTCGAATTGTTCTTGAAATATCTGAACAAGATGCACTTGGTCGTTTATCTAATCTTCATTTAGCATATACAGATAAATATAATATTCGTCATCGTGATGCTATGTTAATAGCAGCTGCTATTGCTGAAGAAGTTGATGCTGCTAAAACCGGCAAACATCCATTAACAGAAAATCAAATAGCTGAATTGGCTTGTAAACTTAATAATGAACGAGCAGATTTTTTTAATCGACCAAAACAATATGATTTATATGCATCATCAAATGCAATTGGTAGAAAACACAAACAAAAACAAAGATTTTCTTTTTTCTATATTTTTTTATTTTTCAGGTATATTATTTCGTGCTATACGTCGTTCAGAACCTGGTTGGCTTAAAATAAATCGTTGTTTACATACAAAAACAACAATTGGTCTTATTCAATCATCACATGTAAGTGCACATGTTCAAATTGATCCATTATTAGTTCATCCATTAGCACATTCATATCATGATGAAGCTGAATATTTATTTAAAATTTATCATGATCAAATAAGTGATATAATGTATGTATATCATTTTCATTCTGAAGTTGATCTTATATGTAAATTTGATTCACAACAACAAATAATGTCAAAACAACTTGATATAGCTGATTCAGCACAAGTTGAATTAACACGTTTAATGAATCATATAAGAAATTTATTTAATAATTGTGAATTAAGAACTCATCATCAATTAAAATGTTCATGTGAAAAGTGTGATGAACAACGTATGGCATGTGCATCAGCTTGTTATATTGTTACATATGAACAACCATATACGAAAAAAATTCTTTCATTTGCATGGTTATTTGCATCATGGTTAGTTAAATTAAGACGTGCTAATTTAGAAAAACAAAATTTATCATATTTACCTTCAAATTATTTTCTTGTTGGTCAAGCATTATTTCGTTCATTTTTATTATTAATTGAAAATCAATCACTTCGTTTTGTTGTTGATTTTAATTCAAGCTTAAATAAAGATTCATGTTTACTTCAACTTAATAATGATAATCGAATAAAAAAATCTATTTATATTCGTGTTCATCTTATGGAATGGGCTATGCTTGAAATAGTAACAGGATGGTTAGATAGACAAGAAATTTTTTCAACATGGAAACATTCATCAAAAACAGCCATGAGACCAATTGTATTAATACGTACATGGAAACATATTACAACTCAATTTATATTTGCTCAATATCAACCAAAAACTTGTTCGGAACTGTTATTATTACAAAATAGATTTCTATCGAAACAACAATTAACAATAACGAATGATAAAGGAACAACAGGTTTGAATATTTTCTTTTTGTATTTTGTAAGACACGATCTAAAAGTAGGGTTGAAGTATGAGGAGAAAAAATTTGGATCATCTTCCATCCCTGCAGATCGTGACAATCAGAATTGAGTAGTCGCTTCGAAGATACATTATTCTTTTTTCTTCAGTCTTTTGTATTCGATAACTAGAGTATCCTATGTAGAAGTATAAGCCGAAGGATCGAACGGTGGCGATGGGTATAAATTTTCAACTTTTGAGAAATTCCAGTGGCTACCGATTCGATTTTGCAGGCTCTGCAGCGACAACAGCTATAGTCGTTTTCATTATTGTTAAGCGGTGACGCCAGCTAATACTTATAAGTCCTTTCTGCGGTAGTAACGGTTGCTAAGTTTAAAATTCAAATATTCTTTCGAAAATAAGAAATTCCCGTTTATTTCAATCGCTGTGATTAGAAATTCCACTGATGAGAAATAAACGGAAAAACGTTCGATCACATGTGTATGGATGTCAGCAGCGGTGAAGCAACTAAACTTACTTTTCCGCAGCGACGGCTACTGATAAATTCTTCAAATTCTTAATGATTTGGTGGCTATGGCCACTCAGCCGTACGGCTTATACCTGTAATCCTATCCATTTCTTCGACTACTAGAGCCAGCTATGTGCTTTTTTTTTGAACTTTCATAACATTGCTAGAGTTTCCACTATGGGAGGTATAGAAGATAACAGGAACACAGGACTGTATGACAATCCCACTTAGAGAGATACCCTCAGAATATGTGAAAATCATGCGATGTCTGTTATGTATTTCCAGAAAATTCATACAACATCATACGCATTATTTCCATTAAGAGAAACTGGAATAGGATTCTAGAAATTCATGAAAAGCATCATATGTCTCCCAGCATCACAGTTAATGACAAACGTTGTTAATATAAGATCAAAGACCGTATATCCATAACGTCTCTTTATAATATATGAACTATTTCCTTATGATATTTCTGGAGTACTAAGTAAAAGGATGATGAATAAGTGTCCTGAAATAGATAGAATGAAACAATCTATTATTAACAACAGCAACTATATCGTGTTTCACATTTTTAATTGCGCAGGGATTGTACTAACAGTTTTATTATTAATAATGAATGTTAATTTTTAGTTAATTTGACATTGCCTAAATTTGCTTCATCACCACCTATTTCATCGTTTCCAACAGTTTCCAGTTGGTGGTCAGATGAAATGGCATGTAAATTTTATAAATTATTTTTAAAGTTAACAGCCCAATGTTCCCGAATACATATATTAAGTGATTCATCACAACGAATGGATTTGGCTCATCTTAATGAATATTTAACACTTGGATTACTTTCTATTGCTGCTGAAAATGAATTTGGCAATGTAACATGGCAGTAAAAATTATTTTGAACTTGATTTAACGTCAGATTATTGTTTATATTTGTATCCGGTATGATTAACTTGATATGTTTCTTTATTTGTATTGTGTCTATAGTTTGCTTATTTTGTTTTTTTTTATTAAAGTGTTACTTTTTGTCAGATTGTTAATAAAGTTTTGAAATAAACATTGATGAAATATGATGTGAGATTTTATTTGAAAAAAAAACTTTACAAGAAGCTTCTGGAATCTTTGTAAACCACTAAACTTATTTGTTGATAGTTTATAACACATGTTAACTGTACCAAAAGAGAACTGTGACTCTGAACAGTCAGCTTTTACTTGCAGCTGGTCACTCATTCTAAATGTCGTTCTCGCCTTCAGCTTAATCTTTTTCGTTTGAGAATCAGATGTATAACAGAATTTATAAGAAAAATCCTCGTCCAAAAACATAAATTCCGAACGCTTCTATATTCGATCTGTTATATTATAATCAATATACATTGACAAGATTGTTATTCTTTCTGTTATCAATAGAATATACTTATCGAAACTAATATTGAATCAAAATGAAGTAAACATATCGCTTTCCTATTAGTCGCAGTTTTATCATGTTCAGTACGAAATTAGATCATAAAAACAAAATTTTTAAAATTTCACATGTTCTTTTTTGTCTAGAACTACAGAAATACAATTACTATTTTGCATATGTCATTATTAATAATACAAAACAAAAAATAATCCCATTAGTATAAGTTTCATTCTTTTCTATTTGTATGAATATATGAATAACGGATAACAAGAATGGTAAAGACGAAAAACAAACAGCAGTAGATGTTGCAAAACAGGTACCGAATGGCATATGGAGCAATTGATATAATAACTGAAGAATTTCTTCAAAAACATCCTGATTGGCATGAATTTACAGACATTGAACAAACAATTATTTAAAAAACTTATCAAGAAAATCAAGCAGCGATTTATATTGATTCACACATAGTTGATTTAAGAAAATTTATAAGAATAGGTAAAGGAAAAAAAAATTTTAAATGGAAAATAAAACGAAATGAAGAGATTATTCTTCCACTAAGATATAATCGATTTCATTGACATCTTTTATTTGAATTTAATGTATCGGTTAAATCAAAAATAGTATTACAGAACGAACACTTATTACATCTTTTGTTTGGAGATGATATTAGCAAAGTGGTGGTCAAGAATCGATTGATTATAAAATTTTAATTGAGGATAAATTAGCTAAAGATGAATATGAAACATCTTGGATGATTGAACAATTAGTAAATTCTACACTTGTTGATAATCGAATATGTCTTACTGCTCTATCAATTTTTTCCCTTGAATCTTATCTTTATCCATTAATATAAACAACACTTCGAACTAATGCTATGTCAAACATATCATCACTTGGTTCATTTCTTGTTGTACTTAGAGATTGTCGAGCTCATTCATTGAAGATTGATCTTTTTCTCTCTTCTGTTATTGTGTATTTTTCTTTAAGTCATGATGTTTATATGATTAAAATATTAATGTTGATACATTTATATCAGCAACTCAAAATCGTTCAATAGCTAAACAAGGTGATGATGCTACATGTTTATTTATTGTACACATTAAACATTGACAGTCACAAGAACAAGAAAGACTTATTTTACCTAATGCAACTTTTCATGTAAAAAAAATTGTGTCTCAAAATGACGATCTTCATCGTCATATTATTTACATAACAGTTGAAAATTGATCTTCTCTTTTTAACTAGTAATACATAATTCGTATAATCTTGATATTCATAATTAATAGTTTATTTCGAACAGATGCAAATGACGTAAAAATAGAGATGTGCAGAAAAATGTTTTTATATCTTTTATCTTGCCTAATGAAGGAAGATCTTCAATGACAAGTTTCCTGCTTCAATCGGCTTTATGCTAGTTTATAGAGCTTGATAAGTCAATCATGAGAGTATAAAGTATTTTTTCCCATAAAATGTCTTTGAAGAGTTAGGTCGATCTCAATGTAAGAAAAATGACTGCAAACTGTTATTTCGGAAACTTTAATTTTTCTTTTAGTTCTCGGCATTGAAAACTTTAACATACGCAATCAACATAAATATGAGTTCTAACTACATCTAGACTTTGAATATTTGGATACTATTAACGGTGCGAAAGTACGAAATTCAGTAGCTACTTTTTTCAAAATTCATTTAATTTCAATTTAGGACATTTATAAAAAAAAACCATATTGATCATGTTTCGATAACCTGCTTCATCTACTAAATATTTTTACATAAACATGCGAGAAAACAAAGGAATAAAATTTAGCTGATTGAAAACGAGATATCTGACGAGGCTTTAATTAATACATCTTTAAAATAATGTTCCTAGAGAATCTTGATCAGGTTTTAAAAGAATATTGTTCAATTCCGTACATCTACAATCTTAATGATATTGAAATATTCAATGTATAAGCATAGTTAAGACTCCTATTAATGTTCATTGTGTGGGTGTATACAGTTCATTAAGGCGCATCTAGTGTTAAAGTTTCACATGTTGAGAATGACGCTAACATAAAAAATAAAATTTCTGAAATAACCACTTATAGTCATTTTTGTGACCTTGAAATCGACGTATAGCTCTTCAAAGACATTCTATGAAGAAGAACATTTTATACCATTGTGATCATTTCACTAAGTTCTACAAATTGACATAAAACTGATTGAACATGAAAACTGACACTTGAAGATCTTCCCTTGTAAGAAAAATTTATCTTATCGTAATCTAATCCTGCATTTCTCTCACCCTTACTCTAAGTTACAGAGTAGGGTAGAATTATTCTCCACATTTTTAGTAATACTTTCCATTTGTATCTTGTTTAAGCATATGTAAATTCTTGTCTTACCTTTCTTCTTGATGTTGAAGAAGTCGACATGAGCGAAATGAAGCCTTATAGGTTTCGACTCCTGCCTTGATAAAGATTTTACTCGTAAAAAAATGTAAATTATTATTCTAAATACCTTGTTGATGTATTGCGATCTGTTCAGTTACAAATCTCTTCCTTCTTGCAAGAGTCATCAAGACAAATAGAAGACCGATCGTTTTCCTTTGCAGTGCGATTCATCTGTATAAATAAAATATCTCTGAATTCGTTTGATGACTACATGAACGACAAGAAAAATTATCTTTAGGCGTATTGGTTTCTTTGAATTATTATTCTTAGAATATCATCATATGAGTTGTATACTGATTATAAATTTATTCAATTTAGTATAAATTCTCTATGAACTAAATCAAGAATGATTTTAATAATCAATTTATAATACTACGCCATCTATTGAAGAAAGCTTTGGTCAAATTTATAATTGGATCTTATCATTATTCTACTCAATCAATGTTCTATTAACTTCATTTTTTTCATGACCACATTTTCAGTTCAAAAGAAGAATACTAAATTTAAGAACGTTAAATACTAACGTTCAATAGATTTTATGTATATGTTGACGACGAAAGAAATTATTTCTTTACGGTTCATGAGTTTCTTTTTTTTTTCTTGTATTTATTCATCAACAATTGAATATATTCTTCTAGATGGCTTTTATAATTAGTCGTTCATCACGATCATTCTTAACTTCTGCTTTGAACTATTCACCTAAACTCTTATCATTAAATCATATACGTTATGCTTCTAATAATCATCGTCCAATGATGTTAATGGATCTTCCTCGTATAGTTTATCCAAATTTATTTTACACGATAAGAAATTTTTTTTCTCGAATAATTATAAATGGATATTTTGATTCAACATTTGCTATAAAACCATTTTCTGATGGTGCACGACAAGCATTAACAATTGTTTCACGTCTTATTGGTAATAATCAATTTGATGACCTATCAGGTTTAGTTACACAACAGGTAGAAAATTAAATTTTAAATAAAAAAGAAGAAAACTCATCATATGAATAATGAATTAGGCTATCAATGAAATAAAGAAAAATTATGAAAATTTAACATCAGAACAGAAACAAAAAATTCCTGTTGATGAATCTGAAATTGTTTTTTCATATCCATATTTAATTGGTATGATTATGGATGAACAAACAAGTAAAAATAAGAAAAACAAAAATTTTCTTTTTTTCTAAATTTAATCGTATTTTATAATTATTTTAGATAGTCGTTTAGTTGAAATAACAATAATCTTTCATATTTTAAAAGATCGTAATGCATATCACGAAGAAATGATCCATGCTAAAGGTGATTCTATTACAAATTGGACAGCTGCAATGAAGAAAATGCGTGATAATATTGTGGTTTGTAATTATAAATTTTTACGTGATATGAGTAAAAATGCTAAAGATGATAGTTGGATTATTAGTGGACTCAATCATTGGTCACCAAGTGAATATGAACAGCAATAACAACATTATCTGTTTGCCTTTTTTTTGTATCATAAAAAAAAATTTTCTTATACTTATTCGGTACGATGAGAAATTTTATGTTGTTTAATAGGATATTTGAAAAGCCGAACTTAGAAGCATCTTAGAATTTTGTACTTTCAGATTATTTTGTGACTTAAAGAAAAAATTGTTTTATCATAATTTGAAGATTAAATAGTTGATGTTTCAATCATTTTTAAACATAGTGTCCAAGTAAATATAAATAAGAAGTAGAATCTAGAGTTCTTTGTGCAAGTCACATAAGAGAAAATACTTTATGATGACTAAAAGGCAAAAATTCCGTACTGCAAGTGTATGTCATAGCTGTCCTCTAGAGTTTTTTTTTATCTATTTCAAGTCTAATATTAACGTGTGTCACGAACATATTAGTTTGAGTTCATTTTACATAAGTCTGTCAGGCAATAAAGCCTAAATATTTCATCGTAATTTACTGATATGCTTGTGACATATGTTAATAGTAGACTTAAAATAGCTGCACAGTTCTAAGGAGAGTTTTGACATACCCTTACAGTATACTGAAGTTTGAAATTTTTATTTTTTCTTCCTTCTAAACAAGTCAGAGAAAATAATAATCATGTAAAATATAAAACAAAGATGCAGCAGATTTTCTAAGTTATTAATATTCATTAGATTATGGTTGCAATATTTATGTTTAAGATAGGAAATGAAAATAGTTAATGTATTTCTATATTCAATAGTGATTAAATGGCTTGTTTCGAAAAAATATTAAGATATACTTTCATTAGAATGTTTATTAGTATCAACAAATTCTAAAAATTTCTAATTTATGTAATTGAACTGAAGTCATATTTCTATTGCAACAAAAAAATAATAATAGAATAAAGTCTTATGTTTTCTGTATATTTCTATTACTTTCTTTGGTATAGATGAAATAAAAAATGTCATAACTATATCGAAGACATTGTTTGAATGAATAGTCTGCTTTTTTAATTGTGGAATAATATCTCAAATATTTTATTAAATATTTATTGAGGATTGATATACTTTGGATATTATTTTATTCAGTCGTAGAAAAAAAGTTTGATCTGTCTATTAGCATCAATACCAGGATTTATAGCCAGAGATAGGAGAAGGACTGATCTCCCCCTCAGACATCTTATGGAACCACTGTTAGCAACAATTTTGTAAAGTTTTCCTAGCCTAAGGAAGTTTTATAGAAGTTTAGCCTCCCGTTACCCCTCTCCCATTGTGTGACGTCGTCACTACTGTTTATCATTGATAACTGCTTGTTAACCTCGCATTAAGAGATAGAAAGAATAGATTGTCCGATTAACTTGACTATTTAAACTAAAAGTTTATTTATGATTTTATGAAATAGAATAATTATGATCTTCTTTTCTTGATCTATATTTTACTAAAACTATATTTATACTATCTTGTTGTAGAAAAAAGATTAGCAATGGTAAGTAAGAAGAGATATTGAAATAAATGTCTCGTGCAATCGAACGAGATCAATATTAGTGTCATTGAAAAAATTATCTCGTAGAAAAAAGCATTTGCAGATTTATATTGATTTTTCTTAAAATGAACTTAGGTTTCTTTTATTTTTATTATAGATCTAATGCTATTAGAAGATCTTCCATCAGAATTATTACTTGAAATATTTTCGTATCTTCATCCATCTGATCTTTATACTTCATTTCTTCCATTATCAAATTCTCGTATATCATATTTAATATCTCATATTCATTTGTCTCTGGATTTAACATACACATCATATTCTCGTTTATTACTTATTTTAACATATTGTTCTCCATCTCAAATTGTTTTTCTTCGTTTAACAAATCAATATTCACATGGTTTATTAATTGCTGAATTTTTTTCATCGGATTATTTTCGTCCTGAAAAATTTCTTCGATTACGTTCATTGCATTTAGATGATATTATTGGTAATGAAATTGATTCTTTGCCACCATATCTTGAAAAATTATATATTAAATTTCATAAAAAAGCTAAATTTGCAGTAAAACTTTATCAATTAGCACTTTGCTCAACATCATTAAAACAGTGTTATCTTATTGGTGGTTATGCATTTGATAATACAACGTGTGCTCATATATCATCAACAACTATTGAACAACTTCATATGGCTATTAAAAGTTTTCCTAATGATTTATTAGTTTTGCTTCAAGCTTTACCATGTTTAACTAAACTTAAAAGTGAGAAGATTTAAACTAATATTATGAGGACATATCTTAGCTCATAAAGAAATCGGACAAAGTAATTCACCTCGTTTGAGTCCACATTTCTATTATGTGTAAGACATATTGAGATTAAAACATTGATGAAATAATTCGAGCCCATGGCTAAAGTCCGTTGGGTTGGTACTGGATCCGAAAATTTTTAACTCGACGGACTTTGCCTATGGAGTTTTTTTTTCTAAGTTATGGTTATTTTAAAATTTTTTTTCTTTTAACAAGTTTCTTTCGATAAAATTGAATTGAAGCGGTTTGATCTAAAATTAATCTATACATTGATTCAGCCTAAACTAGAATATTTTGAAATTTTCAACAATAATGAAGAGTGTTTGCCTTGAGATTTTTGTACTCGCCAAAACCTAATCAACCGTCAAATGAAAAGCAAAATGTTCGAAGTTTCTTTAAGTCTGATATCTTGAAACAAACATCATTCATTTTTGTTGAAAATTTCAGGATATCCTACTATCAATTGAACCAATCTATCGACAAAATTCTAATAGAATCACTTTAATTAATTTATTCGAAAGATACTTGCTAAGGAGAGAAAATATCAATAAAATGGTCATAACCTAAAAGCAGGATGTCTTAGACCCAAGTTATTGCACATGTATTTTACTGTCAATGTTCCTTACATATAAAATAAATATAGACTTAAAAAAGGTGAATTACGTCACATGTTGACTTCGTTAGTCGAAATGAATTTTGTCCTTTTGTTTTTCTTTTCAATAATAGTAAATAAATGATTATTTTCAGCTTGTGTCTATACTCGATCATCAGGAATTCAATTTTCTTCTTTATTTACATCTCCATTGACTCATTTGAATATTGATCTACAAGGTAGTGGTGTTAGTTCGGGTTTGTTTGATTCTCAATTACTTTCTCATCTACCTCGATTACAATCATTAATTTATCATTCATATGGAAAATCGAATGAAGACATGAATTATTTCATAGGATTATCTAGTAAACTCAGACGTTTTCAATTTATTCGAAAAGGTTTATCAGCTAATATTAATATCACAGATAGTGACTTCAACAATGATCTTGTTACTGCTATTCAAGAACTAACTAACAATAAAAATTCACGTCGATCATTAACTTTACATACTACACCCTATCCTGATAAAGTACTTAATTTACCATTTGTTCAGTGGAACAAAGTTCACAATTCGAATGCTAATAATAAACATATACCTAATGAAGGTAATTATTCGTAAAAAAAAAGAATAAAGTTTTAATAGTTTATTGAAAATTAAGAAAATTCTTTTTTTTCTAAATGTTAATCTATCTACTATCTATTTTAAAATATAATATACTCCACTTTATTTCGAATAACTTTTGATTTCTTCTCTTTGGATCTACGGAAGACCTATATTGCTAGCTTGTTTCGTGCAAAAAATTATAAGACATTCAGTCAATCGACTTGTGATCATTGCAAAAAAAAAACAGCTAGACAGTGATAATTCACTAGGTTGAGTGGAACGGTGACGTTTGCTTTTAGGTTCAAACTGATTTGATATTGTTATCACAACATTTCTGCAATGAACATCACCATTCGACTTATCACGGTGAATTACCTTTGCCTAGATGCTTTTTCGAATGGTCACATGTCAATTGGATGAAATTGGGGATTTCAGGAAAAGTCTTATGGTTCTCAAACAAAACAAACTAGATATGTCGACTTGTCGTAGAATGAAAGAGAAGAATTTTTTCTATCGATTAGTCTTTTTAAAACAATAGGAAAATAGGTTCAGAATATCGATTTCGAAAATCTCCACTGACAACTCACCTCATTGGTGGATTGCTAACCGATCAAATTTCAATGGTTCTGGATGTTCTGTCTTGAATGGTTAAAACCGTAGATCTCTATGATGTTTCTATCGAAAGTTATTCGAAAATTAGTAGAGCATATTATATTTTGAAATGGATAGTATAGCATAAAAGCTTTAAAAACTGTCGTCGGCTTTTCTATTGCTCAATAATTAATATCATACAATACCTTTCGATCTCTTCTCATTTTTATATTCTGATTTAATTCATTTTCCATTAGAAATTTATGATTGTGTTGAACGTGTTCGAATAAATCTATCTGAATTATCTGTGAATACGAATATTCCTCCTTGTCGTCATGTAAATCATTTAACATTAATTTCAAATAATGAAACTAATAAATGTATTATATCACCAAATATAATATCATCTATTGTTTGTTTGTCATCAGTTCGTCATTTAATTATAAATACTCAAACATCATTATTTAATTTTAATCAACTATTTACTTCAATGTCTCTTCATTCGCTTGATATAGCTTGGTCTCAACTTCGTCCATATTTTTTATTATCAAATATAAAAATTCTTTCTCTTATAAGTGAATATGTGTCATGGAAAGAAATTCAATATTTAATTATTCATTTAATACCTCAATTAGAACATATACAAATGAATGTAACAACAAGTAATGAATGTCGACATATTCTTAATTTTTTATTATCACCTAAATATAAGAATAATTTAATATCAATTAAAATTTGTATATGTCAAACATTGTCAGATGAAATAAAACAAGATCTTGAACCAATCCTGTTATCTTCACAATGGGTTAAAGTTAAATGGAGAATGGATAACTGGTATTTATATATTTGGAAATAAAAATAATACAATTAAAAAAATTTTGTTTTTTGTTTTGTTTCAAATATACAATTTATTTATGTTCAAGTTTTATTTAAAAAAACAAATAAATAT